TTTATGCTATCTATGATCTGCTTGTGGTTGTTGTTGTTTTTGCTGCACTTTAACACTGACACAGTCGTCTAATTGGACAGCGTTTTGGCCTCCAGTATAAAAAATAACAAAACGAGGTGGAAATGATTCGGGAGTTTCCTTTACACGCTCGTGTAAAGTCTGATTGATGCGCTTTGTCTCGAGGGGCAGTTTGAGCGAGGAGGTGTCGATTGATTCGTGTCCACTCATCGGTTGCCCAATGAATAGGGAAGTGATGTAGGATTTAAATACTTATTATTGATCTTGGTGGGGAGGCTGGTTCGTGATATGAATGCAATGCGCTCACCGCATCTCTCCCTGGAAGCTCCGTCTCTCTCACCCAGGCAAGGAGCGCGTCCTCGCGACTGACAGCACGCGGGCAGGCGGTGTAACAGATAGTTGTGCAGATGAAGGGGAAAATAACCATTTACACACCAAAAACAAAACAAAAACCACTTATTTTGGTAGTTCTTGTTTTGGGACATGTAGTGGAACGTGGCTGCAGATATTTAGGACATTTTGTGGCTGTTCAATCTCCATGCAGACTGTTTTAATGAAGCGGTTTCATTCAGAGAACTGCTCTGTATTAATCCGTTACGTCGACAGGAGGTGTCTAGAAGTGTCATTTCTTCTCTCCTTGTCCGCGAGACGCTTTTACGCGAGACACCGCTACAGCACTCGCTCGTGCGCCTCCGACCACTTCGGCTACTGGAGGACTACGGCGTGTGTGGGCGGCACCAGCTGGCGCAGTGATGCTCGAAAACAATGCTGCGTTCACCACCATTGGAGATAACAATACTCACACGTCTCATGGTAACGAAAAATGGAAGAGTATGTTATACAGTCGCTGATGATGTCCGTTCCCATTATGCATGAAACAGTGAGGGATGGTGCAGTATCTGCCAGGTCAGTTAATATGATGCAAGCAAAAGACCCCCCCCCCCCCTCCCTTACTCCTTTAGCCCCAAATCATGTGTTACCATCATCTGATTTTCAGAAAAATGTATAACCAGTAGGCATGAATACTCTACAGACGGTCATTTGAAGGTTCTTTATAGAGCATTAATATTTCAGCAAACATATTAGCTATGTAAAGATATACTGGAGGAACCTGATAATGATAATGAAATCACTCTCTCTCTCTCTCTCTCTCTCTCTCTCTCTCTCTCTCTCTCTGTGTTGAGCTTCTCTGTGCTTTGTTGCCATAGCGGGGCCGGCCATCTGTAAGTAAGTGTGAGCGCGCCCCACTGGCTAGCTAATGGCCGCCAACACCGTAGTGACCTATGGTCCCGACCGACGGAGTAAGTGTAGCACCCCACCCCCAGGTTCCCTCCACAGTTAACACTTTTAGCTCTGTCAGCACTGTCGCCGCTGTTTACACTGGTAGCACCGCTAGCTGCTAGCCGCCGGCTCAGTTGTCGCCATGTTGAGAGCTGCATGGAGGCAATTGAGGCATTGGATTTTGAATTTGGCACCTTTGACAACACCTCCTGATGCTCTGAAGGTATTTCCAGAATCCTCAGAAACTATAGCCTACCTGGATAAAGAAAAAATACTCCCACCTTTTGTACAACAAAAAAAGATTGTTAACCAGTTTTTAATTTATCCAGTACGGAAATTATAGTTGGTTAAAACACAAGCAAACTATGAGTGCATTATTATGCTTTGCATGGTTTCCATATCTTATAAACTGAAGTTACCTCCCTACCATGGAATTTAAACTAAACAGGACCTTCAGGAAAATTGCAAATTCGATCGACAAACCGATAAGGATCCACTCCACAACTCCTGTGGCAATAACTACTCTAAAAGCTGAGGTGAACAGTTTCAATTTATCCGATGAAAACCGAGATGAGTTGTGGCCAGGTGAGGCAGGCAGCCCCACATTTCCCCCTTTTCCCATGGGACGCGAATGCAACATCATTCTAGTCCGTTTTGGCACGATTTTCGCTCAGTTTCCCTGCGCGTTATCACTCTGCTGTCTTGTGCGCGAGTGGTTAATCCCATTTAGACAGAGAACGCCCTCACACACGAGATGCTTCAGCACAAAGTTGTCTCATTCTGACAGACGATGTAATTTGTGCAGGATTTGTTTACACCTGCAGTAGGCCTAATCATCTCACTGAGATAAATACTCAAAATATTGGAAACATCTCGGATAAATACTTTATTTTGGACAAATTCGACAGGGGACAGTTTGACAATCGGGTCCGCCGGCTCCTCCTAAAGAATGAATAAGTGCTATAGCTGTCCGTCCAGCGTTTCCATGCAACAGCGCAGGCGGCTGTGACGCCAGGGGATACACGCGGGAGGACACACGCGGGAGGGATAGATGCTGTAGCGGAGAGAGCGTCGGCACGGTATAGACCTGGACCCGGAGCGGCTTTTTAAACCAGATGGAGCGACAGGATGACGGAGACGACGAGCTGTTTGGGAGCGTAAATCACCGCGATGGCGCAGAGGAACCCGGTAAGAGCGCTTTGACTGCCCCCCCCCCCCCCAAAAAAAAAACATTATGATGCCGATGATGAGGATGGTGATTTGAGCGCGCGGGCAGAGACGTAGAGGGAAAATAAAGCTGTGCGTCTGTCAAATTTGATGAAATCCCTAGATTCCCTGCGGTTGCTCCAGGTGGATTGTTGCTGCTGATAACGCGTATGAGCGCACCGTAGGGCGCCAGACGTTTGTTTGGAGGGAGTCCTCGCACACCTGGAGCCCATCTAATTAGCTTTTTACATTAAGATGCTGCTGCTGTAGACGTGATGGTAATTTTAAGCATGCTTCTACCAAAATGATTTCCTTGGTGGTTTTGAACTTATTCCAACCTTAATCATAAAGATATACTTTTTTTATTCTTTTATTAATTTTTTTATTGAAAGACAAGAGACAATACATATACATAACAACAAGAGGATGACAAGAACAGTGGGATACAAGCCAGCAAACATCATATAGTCTGTGTGTGTGTGTGTGTGTGTGTGTGTGTGTGAGAGCGTGTGTGTTTGTATGTGCTTGAGCCTTTTGAGATGGGGGAAAAAAAAAATAATAATAACAATTAAAAAACAAAAAAAAACAGGTAAGTATGTGTGCATATGGGTGTTCATGTATGCATGTATGTGGATTTCAATTGGTTGTCAGGCAAGAATAAAGAATAAAGATATACTTTAGATTTCATGATCAACTTCAAAAATCCTGCTGCTGCTGGAAACATGACATATGAGAGCGGTGAACCTGAAACAGTAAAGTTGTGAGTCCTAAGCTCCAGCACTGAGGGGAGCCGAGCTAAATCATTCTCTGCTTGTTAGTTAATACAGCTTTAAACTTAAAGTTACCATCTGAATCAGTTTGAATGACAGGGCCACTCATTGGAGGGTAAAAAGGGGAAACCTTTCTGGGGGGCCAGCCGCTACGGGAAATGATAACCAAAATATTCACCATTACTTATTACACCGACTAAAATAAACGTATTTATTGTTGCTTTAGTAATATGTAGCCTTTTTTGTTGTTTTTTCCCCCTCATGACCTGAGGAACGTATTGATCTAAACTAACTATCAGCTAATGTTGGGAGTGACTGGAGTGTGTTCAGTAGGAGAACGAGAACATGTGCGTGCGTTGATGATGTGAGTAAAGCAGATTTGAGGGAGGGGCCCATTCACGGGACCTTTTCAGGGGTCCGGCTGGTCCTGTGGGCGGGCCTGCACGGAGTCGGAGATAACGCTTTTGGCAATTGTCAAAACACGTGTCTGTATTTCCCGCCCCTGCACTGCCCTGTGAGCTCATTGGATCGGCCTCACATGTTCTACATAATCTCTGTATGTATATGCCACTCAGATGATTTGCATATTGTGGAGAAACCAAGGATTACTTGCCATTTGTCACAACGTGAATATTTCCAGTCAATATTAACAAGCTGGAGTTAATATACAGTGGGTACGGAAAGTATTCAGACCCCTTTAAATTTTTCACTCTTTGTTTCATTGCAGCCATTTGCTAAAATCAAAAAAGTTCATTTTATTTCTCATTAATGTACACTCAGCACCCCATCTTGACAGAAAAAAACAGAAAAGTTTGGGATTTTAGCAAATGGCTGCAATGAAACAAAGAGTGAAAAATTTAAAGGGGTCTGAATACTTTCCGTACCCACTGTATATGCAAACACACTTGACGGTTCCCATCAGCGTCAACAGTGTCACGAGACACCACTACATTCTGTTAAATCATTATACCATTCAGTTTAAACCACTCCTCTGTAACAATGGGCTTGGCAGGTAGAAAAGCGGCTTGTCTACTTCTGCAGGTAACACCGCCGCGTGTTCCCAGTACCAGTTCTCAAGGCAACCAGCAAATGAGTATTCCACTTTTTTTTTTTTTCCCGCCTGGAGATATTACCTCTTCACTGGATGTGTAAGCTTTGCTCTAATAGCTAACACAGTAGAAAGGGCAGATTCAGATCTCAGACAGGTGGACTGATCACAGTGGTTCTTGTTGACTTACAGTGAAAACATCTCATGTTGCCAAAAACAGAACTCAGACCCAAGCTGGGTTGCCGCCTGCCTCGGCTTCCAGCTAGAACGTTTGGCAGAAGCTATCGAGTCTTGGGCAAGGGGGTTGTGTCCTCATGGAATACCTGTAACTACATAAAATAATGTTTATATAGCTGTATAACCAGACATATAACACATATGTATAGGATGCATGCTTGGATTGATGCGAGTTGTGCAGTGCATAAAGGCGGATGTACTGTAAAATAAACAAAACAAATGTGCCGTGCCAGACATGCAACATCAAGTTCATAGCAGGAAACAAAACCAGCCTGTTCTGTTCCTTCATGTTTGCTGCACGCCTCACGTGTCAGAGTCATTAGAGGTCAAGGACCCGTCCATATGCACCTTTCCATTTACGTATATTTATGTGTATTTTGAAGCATCGCATTAGAAAAGCTGAATGGAACCGGCAAAATTCACAAAAACTCTCACTTGCAAAGAAAAGTTTTTACACTCGCTTGAGGTCTTTTTTGCCTTCATGGAAAAATAAGATGGTGCGCTAAACGCAGAGATGGGCAGTATTTCTATTACTTGTTTTTGAAATACGTATTTCAATTACTTTTGAGTATTTTGTAATTTGTATTTGATAGGGCCGATAAAAATCGAACGTAATTTTGTAACAAAATACTTTAGAGTGGAGTAATTTTGTATTTAAAATACTCAAAATACTTTCTCCACGAATCAAAAAACAGTTCATGAGTTCAGTCTTCAGATCTTCAAGTTCAACGGATTGTCTGTCAACGTAAATATTTTATCCGAGTGTGACAGATGTCAACTAGCTTGATGTATAATTTATGTCTGGCTCTGGCTACATAGCCTATTACATGGTGATGGTTATAATATCAAGCTAGAGATCGATGCTAACATGCTAATGACGCTAGCATGCTGTCTAGGCTAGTGCATAGCCAGTGTTTAGCAAGTTAACTTATCAGTCGAGTAGCTAGCTATAGGAAGAGGGAGATTGGGAGCTTGTATGTTCATGATAACCTTATCAAGAGACGTCTGACCATCTAATCTTGCACTGTATTACAAGTTATGCTGTTATGCTTCTCAATGTGAATGTCATAATGCCATATCAATTACTGGCAGATCATATAGTTCAGTTAGCCAGGCTATGAGAGTAGATGTCCATTTGTTAAAAAAAACATTAAATATCCAATTTATTTTATTTAAAAGGCATATTATGAAAGTAGTTTTATTATTTCATACATTCTACAGTTGGCCAGGTGGACAACTGTAGAATGACTGTGTTGTCATCTTCCCGGATATATATTCATATTATCTTCCTCTCCTGACAACATGAAACATGGCTACATGACACGAAAGAACAATTAATACGAATTGAAACAAATTCCTGAACCTCTCCCTTTTTATCTTGTATATGAGTAAGATGGCCAAGTTTCTGGTTGGCAAACCGTAACTGCTTCTACTCTGTCTACTGGCGTGCAGCCATGCGTAGGCTAAAGCGCCAACTTTTGACCAATAGGCTGTAGCTCAGTTTAATCACTCCAAACCAGTTGATGGAAACGCTCCTAATTTGCAGTTATTTTTTACAACATTTCAAAGGATTTGCTTAAAATCTGCTAGAGAATTGAATGGAAACATGGCTAACTACTCTGTTATAGTTGCCATAAAGAAATATGGCTAACATTTTCCATCTATATATCCCATGGCTTTCTAGCTTTGGTGCAACAAGTCTTCATACCTATCGGTGCGAACTGCGCACACACTTTGTCCGCCCGGCCGTCCACCTCAACCTTCTGCCCGAAGAGGTTCTGCAGCAGTATAACATCACCATGCTACTTCTGCCTTTGCTTCTAAGGGACTACAGTCATAATGTGCACCACCACAAAGAGCTTGTTGTCTGGAAGATTGAGATACGGGACATTTAAGTGCTTGAAGGAACAACTGGCGCAGTCCTTTTTCTTGTGTGGACAGCTTCTTTTGGTTTACTTGAAGGCTTTTGCTTCATCCGCCACTCTGGAGCTCTAAAAGGCAAGGCAGCCACTGTAGCCTTCCCCCACTGTAAGGCAGTATAGAAACCATTAGAGGAATAACTGCATATTCAGCTATGCTCTCATGTACAGAAGCCAGCTTTATCAAAAGAGACAGAACTACTGGGTTGGTCTGGATAATACTTGTTTTGCTTGACTGTATAACAGGAAACTCGATAATTTCACAAAATCACTGTGGAAGGTATATTCAATTGTGGATCGCCATAGTAACAATACCTATGCTTGGTCATGTGTCAGTAAAACAGTAAGGTATCTCGTCTCACGACACTAGCGACTCCCACTGACCACCAGCAGATTTAGCAGTGACAAGTCGAAAATGTATGTAAATCACAATATGGCCTGCTGCAAGGAAGGCCAAATGTGTGTCAAAATACCATTTTAAATGAAGTATTGTTGTGTTGCAGAGATTCCCTGGCCTACACATCATAGTCTGCAGACTTAAGAAAACATTGGATCCCCCCAAGAATCACATATAATCATTTTACTATTCAATGAAAGTGAGAACAATGATGTAAAAATGATCTTTCCCTCTAATATCTCAGTCAAAATAACCGCAATTAGATATTTCTTTCAAAATAGTGCAGCAGTTCCGAAGTAATTGGGATTTACACAGTCAACAGTTGCTCATTTAGAGTGACAATAAAGAAGGAACAATCCAAACAGCATGCCGCTGTAGTACAGGGACAACAAGTGTAGACTTTACGTATGTCTGTGTGCAGCAAATAGACATCACTTCTTCGAACTTTTAGAAAGTCTTCAACACTCTTTAAAAGATACTTCTTTGTAGCCACCAACATGTGAAGCTTTATAGAACCACTCAGCACTGGTAGGGCGGTGTGTGTTTGAGCCCATTAACTAGAAAACCACTACACCAGTGTGTAGGTTCAAGGTCTTCTGAGATTCAGACGGATCACCACTCAGACATTTACAACCACTGACATCAAGTTGTCTAGTGCCGGTTTAAAGGACCACAATGGTGGTTTTGTGTATTTGAGCCCATTAACTAAATAACCTATACTCTACATTACAACCACACTGTGTGGGTTTAGACAGACGTTTACCGTCAGACAGATTGTGTTTTCACTTATTTTCATTACAACTAAATATCTGTGAGGAATCATCTATGTGAGGCAAGTTTACAATGCCTACAAGTTAATTTTCATCACTTACTGAAATTAATTGTTTGGGTTGAATTACAATGTTGTCACACATTTTTCAGCACAAATAAAAAATGATGTATTTAGGTTTGGATGTTCTTCCATACGACTACAAAATATGGGAAAATGGAGTTGGACTGTGCATAAATGACTGTTGAAATGGATGTATCATAACTAAGTGCAGCAGCATGATGTTCTGTGATTAATCAAGCAGGTGTAATGTTTGTGACACACTGGAGAGAGAATTTAATGACAGATATAAAGAATATTGAGTAGCAAAATGCAGTTTACAGGAGCTCTCCCTTCAACGCCACAAAAGCCAAAACACCAGTCAAGCCAATTCTATTTATATAGCCCAATATCACGAATCACAAGTTTGCCTCAGGGGGCTTTACTATCTGCACAGCATACCGCATCCTCTGTCTTTAGACCCCCAATTCAGATGCAGGAAAAACTCCCCCAAAACCCTTTAACAGGGAAACAATGGAAGAAACCTCAGAAAGAGCAACAGAAGAGGGATCTCCCTCACAAGACAGACAGATAGATAGATTGTAAACATAAAAGATGCACACAAGGGAGAAAGACAAAAGGGGAGAGCCTGAGTCTCCTGAAGGACGGAGATCCAGATCCAAACATCTGGAATGAAGCCCTGACAGCAAAGGGAGAGAGAAACAGAGAGGTCCCAGGACGGCTGATGGTCCGGCACAGAAAGTGAAAAGATAGAACAAGGAGACTAAGGAGAGACGGATTCATCACTTGGACACTCATGTGCTTGTGGGACTACAAACAAACTGAGAGGTTAAGAGATGCAGTGTTTTTTTCTTCAGAAACTTAACAGTATTCTCTTCAGCAAGACAAACACGGACTATAGTACTGGACTTAATAGATCCACTGAGACCGGGACTGATCGCCGGAAGGATAAAAGGTTACAGGTACAAGCCTGAAGTAATCGAAGAATAAGCAACTAAGGTGAAAAGACGAGTTTTAAGTTTAGATTTAAAGGCCTCATTTCCATTGGTCTGTGCTCGTTATGTTGAGCTTGGGGGCCGCAGGGTGTTGAGGAATCTGAAAGCCTGGGGGAAGAATCTGTTGTAGAGTCCAGAGGACCTTTCCCGGATTCTCCGGTAACCTTTTTCACACGGCAGTGAGATAGTAGTCTGTGGGAGGGGTCTTTTTTGATCCTGGAAGATCCTAAACGCTGCCCCCTATACTCTGTAGCAGGCGTTTTCAAAGTCTGAGATTGTGGGCCTCGCCTTGGAAAAAGGCGCCCCCTTAACTTACCTGCTTAGTGTCGCTTAATTCCTGGATGCCTATAAAGTGCCTATTGGATCAAATCACATAATTATGGTTCCACAATTATGTGATTTGATCCAATAGACACTCATACGCCGCATGTGTCATCTGTGTCCGTGAGTTGGCGCTGGATTTCTCGTCCATACTCTACGTGCACTTTGATACCCTGATGGCCAGGGACAGGTTAGTCCAAGCTGATCTGAGGGCTGCTATGTCCCCAGATTCAAAGGAAGCATCAGCAGTACGCGGACCTCAGTGGACAGCCATGGCTTCAGGTTAGCATGTATGGAGATGTCAGTTTCATATTCGTAGGTGGCAGCTTCCTTAAAATCTCTGGCTGGGATTGAAAAAGTTGTCAGTTCACTGATAGTCCTGTAGAGTAGTGATGCGGCCTCTTTGGTGTTCGTGCTGGGAGCTATGTACACTGCCACGATGATAATGTTGGTTAATTTCATCTGTAGATAGAACGGACGGCACATCATGGTCATGTGTTCCACTCACTGGAGACCACCGGAGCATTCGCATACCAATCACTTAGCGAAGGTTAAGGCGTCCGTTTGGCTGAAGGGTCGAGTCGGTGATATTCCCATATAAGCCACGTTTTAGTGAAAGCAAAGAAACGACAGTCCTTCATCTCGCTCTGAAGGTGCCTGTAAGAGTCCAGCTTATTGTCCAGGGACCAAACATCTGCTGACATTAGTCTTTAGCCTGGCATGAATGCTGGCTCGTTTTCAATGTTTGTTTCCTCTCACACCGCCTCCTCATTCGGATTGGTAGACGTAGGCTCTGCTTCGGCTTCGTGGCCCTGGTCCTCGTAGCGGGTTAAGGCTGGGCAGCTTTTCCAAAAGTGTTGATTCAGTATTGTATGGAAGCTGATTCCCAAATTCCAGCAATGCCAGACACTTTTAGACTTAGTCGAGGACATGTGAGCCTGGTTTATCTTTTCCAAAAAACAGACAAGGGCTAAGATTTAAAGTAACATTTAACACTGTGTTTACCAGACACGCAGAGGCCGCTGTCATTTCAGTGAATATCTGATGAATGAGAATAAGACGATTTTCCTATTTAAACAGGTAATGCCATAACAGTTGTGTCTTGCAGTATGTAACAGGCAGATTTCCAGTGATACTGTGCTCCACACACCCAAGAGAGGCACATTCAACTTTTTTCTGTTACTCCTGGGCTTTTATTAATTAATGATATCCGTCAGAGTTGTCAGGAAATGTGATTATTAGACTGTGGCCCACCTGAGGGAGCAGGTAGAAGCAGGGACTCAGATAATTAACTGTGTTTGCTGCTTATTGCTGTGCCTGTGACTGATGAGTTTTTCTCTTTGGTCAGAGCTTCATTACAGGAAGGAAGGTGTTCTTGTTGAAATGCCTCGGCCATTTGTGCTCCCTGAGGGTAATACTAACTAAAAACCCATCAACCTTTTCTGAGATAATACTCAGGTGCAATTGTACAGTAATGACACTGCGCCAATCACGTGACAGCTGGATCATTGCGCAAAAAGAACATGCTTGTTTCGGATATATTACAGAGGAGCAGCTTGTAATGTAGCAAGCAAGGCGTCCATCGGTATCCATGGTGACAGCTGTTTCCTGTAAAGGGTGGAGAGAGTGGCGAGTGCATCCCACAGTTTATCTGTGTTTCTTCCCTTCTTTGGTGCAAAGAGCCGGCCACAGAGTCCCATGATGTGTTTACTGACATCACGTCAAGTCCGGCAGGGCGCTGGGCTGCGAGGGGATGAAATGCGCTACGAGCTTAGATTCAACAACAAAATTATTTCCATGGAAACAAAACGTATCACAAAGTATTGTTCTAAAAGCTTCTTAATGATGCCAATATTGGCAGGATATGTAACTTTTTCCCATTGCGAGCTGCTAATATTCACGTCAAAGCCGCAACTGAGGATCCTCACAGTGCAAACGGATAAAAATCGATATGAAAAGCAAATCAAAATGATATCCAAGCGTTTGTGCAAGATAAATCCTCACGGCATCAATAAACGTATACAGCTAAAATGAATATTGCTAATTATTATCTTTCTCTCACAATGTCATGTACTTATAGCTTTGCCCATGGATGAATTACAGAACAGGCCTACTGGGCAAGGGGCCCAGGGTTCCAAAGGGCTAAGGGGCCCGAGGGGTGGTTTGTAGTGACTGTTAACATCATGATCAGAGTCTTTTTATATTCAGTCTCTCTACAAGCAAATCTGACCCGATATTTGTTTTTCGTGTTTTGTTTACTTCATATTACTGCAGCGCAGCATACTGAGGCCACCGGGACATTTCATTCAAATACAGTAGCATAAGTAAAGTCATGTAAATCAGAACAGCTCTGCTTTAGGAGTATAGACGCTGTGTCTCAGGCTGTCTTTGATGGCTTCCTGTTGTATAATGTGTGGTAGTATAATGTCAAAGCAGAGGTGTGTCAACTACAAACAACACGCTATCTGTATTTGTTTTGTGTGTCCTCTTTATGTCTGGGCATCGGGGGAGGGGGTTTTACCTGTTCAGGTCCAGGTTACCATCGTCTCATAATCTGTGCATGACTATCCCCCTGACACAGGCAGACTTTGCAGACTCTCCATTCCTCCCCCAGGTTCTCCTGCCCTAGCCCGTGAACGCTCAGGCAGCCCACAGCTGGACGTGTCTGCCACGATGAGGAAGAGCGACTACCTGCCAATCACTGGCGAGGAGAAGAGCCTGGATTCCAGGAGCAACGACTCCATAGTAAGACACTACATCCATGTTGTCATTGTTATGATTTGTGGTGTAGAGCAGGGACTGGAGACAGTGGCGCTGATCAGTTAAATGTTTCACGAAAAGGTACAAATATTTCAAGGAGTTGACAGGATATAAAGGTTTGTGATTAATGAGTCATAAAAGCCTATGATGCACGTACATACAACTAACGCTGACGTGAATTGATCTAATAGGGGTCATGAATGGTGTAAAGGGCCTGTAATGGGTAATTAGATATTAAATATCTTCAGTCTTTCTAAAGTCATTTTTTTAGGACGTACAGTGACCCTAAGAGTCTGAGATCACGGCACCATTCGCATATGTACATTTATTGTATCACGTTCCAAAAGCTGAATGGACACGGCGAGATTTGATAAAACCTCCTCAGTTTTTAAAGGTTTTCACGCTTGCTTGAGTTTTGTTCTTGTCGAGAAAGAGATGATGCTATGACGCCGCGAACATTTAAATCACATGACTGATATATATTTATGTTGTCTTTGTCTCCAGACAGCATGAAACATGGATAATACTAGCTGATGTGAATCCACGATTAAACCTCAAACAAATTCCTCACCATTGCTCTCTTGTAGATGGTTAGTTGGCCAAGCTGACTTGTTTTGTCTGTTGTGGTGCAGTGCAACCCACAACAATCAAGGCTCACAATTAGGAAGAACCCGATTGGAAGTTTTTTTTAACAGTATTAGCACTCCATGAAGGTTCTATTTACAGTAATGTGTGTGTCCCGTGTGTAGAGCAGTAGGTTATAAAGCTCCTATCATGAGAAAAAAATTAATTTCCCTGATTGGACTGGTAGCTAGATCCGAGGGACGTTGTTAACACACATTTTAATTTAAATCTAGTGTCTGCGAGGGAAAAGTATTCATTAATATTTCATTGACACACACTGTACACACAGTCAATGTGCTAATGCAACATTTTCCCACAACGATTTGTGCACCTGCTCACACAGCAATGGAGAGCAAGTTTAAAAAAAAAAATAATGATTTCCTGAAGGAAACTGAAACCATTGACTGCAATTGTGTCTTCAAGTAAATTGCATCAGTGTTTACTCTTGAGGAGAGCTTTGCTCTGTTATAAGGACTAATAAAAGGTCGGGAGCACATGCGAGTAGGCCAACATACCGGCTATACGGCTATAACGATTCATGATCAGGCTCTGTGGCTCCGGTATATTGTACACGACTCAATTCTGCATGAGACATTACCGTTTTATGGAAATGTTCATGAACGCAGTGGGAACTACCCAAAGAAATGTGGTGCGCTAATCTTTATTGCATTCATAAATTGAATTTGTTGAATCAACGCCTATATGTATTTACAGTGTTATGCTCCGTATGATAACATAGCAGTGATCTGTGATGTAGCACATTCTTGAGCTTTTGCTTATAGAATCACCCAGTGTCAGGGGGACAGGAAGCGATTTGTTTTACATGTTAAAGGACTAAAAATGCAACAGAATGTTGAGCTTGAGCAGCGGTGAAGTGGCTGTGAAGAGAGCAGCGCTTTAAGTGCCACTTGAGCTTAAGGATATTCTTCCAGCTCAGCAGCTCTCTCTAATCAGGCAGCATTTTCATTGCCCCAAAAACGAGAGAAGTCTTGTATATTGGTGGACAGAGGTCTAAATGAAACCAGGCTGGAGAATGTTCATCAACTGTTGTGGGCCGTTTTTAGAGAGTTTTTTCCCCGAAAACTAAAAGTCAACATTGACTTGCGAAGGCCCACTGATGGCTCGTGTTGCTGAACATTTGTACGTATCAACTTTAGGAGCAGATTATAGCATAGTCATAGTTTCGTTAACAGCCCCAAGGACTCAAATGCAGACATTACCAAAAGTAGAGTGAAACAGGTCTTTAATGAACCAGGAAAACAGGAATCTTACATCGAAAACAGCAGGGAAACCAAGGACGAGATGAGAGACGAGGGTGGAAATCTGGCAGGGCAGGTAGACTGGGAAACCGGGAACAGGACGAGCCAAACGGGCGGTTTGACATGACAATGATCTGACAAAGAGTGACTGAGAGGCAGGAGTTTATATAGTGGCTTGAACAGGTGAGGGGAGTTGTGCTGATGAGGAGGGAGTGCTTGATTAGTGATCAGAGGCTGATGATGAGAGAGTGGCTGACAGGTAGATTGAGGAGGGTGTGGAGCTACACAAAGACACACACAGAACACAGAAGGCAAAGCCTGATCGTGACACCAAGGGGCAAAAATATGATTGCAGGTCGAATGATCGATCAAGTGTTGCATTCTTTTAATCACAACTAAAATGTTTCACCATCCACTTATTATCTCTCCTGTACTTCATGTTCTATTGAAGTCTGTTTGATTATTGCTGCTATTCTTGGCCTTTAGTGAAGAAAAATGAAGACGCTTTGTCTTAACATAATTAACTCCTTAATTGTGGAATTTTTGTTTTACCTCTCTTATAACAAAAATATGAACACAACTCCACATCATTTGGTGTTTTGAGAAAATAAGGTAATTCAGATTAATCAGTTGGAATCACGAGAAATCTGTAATTTAGCTGGAAATAACGAGATAATTAAATCATGGTTTTGGGAGTACAAGCTGAGAAAATATTTGATGATTAGGACTAAATATTACTGACATCCTAAATTGGGCCTAACAGAAAAGCAGCCATGGCCAATTTCAATGAAATAGGGCTTCAGAGCTAATTTGCATATTTCATTATTATATGCAGTCACTGCTGCAAGAAACTAATTATTTTGTAGGGCTCAGAGGAAGTTTTGGTGCCAAATGTGCATCTGCTTGCCAGCAGCTTTCTCTTTTCCTCTAGTGGGATGAAGTGTTTTAAGGGGCCGGTTTCTCACTTACCTCTCGTGGTATTTAGCTTTGGAAATACTTTCTACTGAAGACATAGTCACTACGAAACCTGCTGACATTGAGGTCTGTGGATTGTCCACAGTATGTAAAAAAAACAAGTAGATGTTCCATTTTTAACATCGAATTATTTTTAATGTTGTGAGTGCCGCAAATGAAACTCCATTCACCTGCATTGTGTCGTATTGTACAGATATTTAGGTAGACACCACTAGAGGTGAGTGAGAAAACTGACTCTTGAAGTTACCATCTGTCTGTGCTTGGGAGAAGTATGCCAGATTTATTATTGGCACTGTGGCCTTACAGGTTGCTGGAGTTAAAACTGTGATTTGAAGCGTTCAACATGCAAAAAAACCCTGACTGTTCCAGCTGCTACATGCAGCTTACTGCTATGAAAAACATTATTGACTGAAAAAACTGCTGGGTTGTCTCAGCCTTGAGCTTATTATGGCTCAGATGTGTGTGTGAGTGTGCGCGTGTGTGTGTGTGTGTGTGTGTGTGTGTGTGTGTGTGTGTGGGGGTGGCTGTGTGCATGTGGAAGCCCAGAGAAGAGGAGAACCTCATTTCCCGGTGGCTTAGTGAGAAAAGAGTTCCTATTGACGAATGATGCATACACCACCACATCCTCATGCGCCCTCTGAGAATCGACCTCTGGCCTTTGTATCTATGACTACTTCCGGTCGAGCGAGGGCTGAGGATGAGTGTGTGTGTGTGTGTGTGGGGGGGGGGGGGTGGGGGTGGGGCTGTATATAAACACACACACACACATTCACATGCACCAGACCCTCATCATACTATCACAGACACACACGGAGACACACTGTTCTGTTCATTTCAGCGCAGGGCCTGCTGTGTCAATATTAGCTTTCCGCACAAGTTCAGAGTTTATGGCTCTTCTATTGACGGCGGGCTGTCCTATCTTCAACATGTATTGCCGTGTAATTGTCCGTCTATCACCATGTAAACATCCGTGTTGGGTGTYGGCTGCTTTTAGTACTCWAGCAAATTCCCACACAGTATGTGATGTCGTCAAACTCCCATATCTCTCTCATCATTCCATACTACATATACTACTAAGTAGTACACCTGGTCTCCACCAAAACATATCTGGCCGTTTAGCGGCTACATTTTCAACTATGTTCACCTATGAGCTATGTGCAGGGCACCAAACTCATGTCTACAATGTTTACTTAAGTAATTAATCAAGTGAGAAGTAGAGTGATTTTCTCAAAGACTTTTAGATAATCGGACTTCTTATTGCAACCAGAGGAGTCGCCCCCTGCTGGCCATTAGACAGAATGCAGGTTTAAAGCACTTCAGCATTGGCTTCACTTTCTTTGAAGCCCCTGTGGGTTGGCACTTCTTATATGCAGTCTATGGTTGTGGTTATTGTATCCCACTGTGGTGATGGCCTGACTGACTAGCATCACCAACAGATTGATATATGTGGTTCAAAGCAAAATCACTTGACAACTATGGGATAGATTTCCACCAGTTCCCAACAGTGTTCCCACCAGGATGAATTATTACAAAAATAAAATTGGAAAATAAAAACATTACATCCTAGGTTGTGCTGCAACGTAGTAAAATCATTTTTTTAATCTTCACATAAAATCCATAATCCCACATTCATTGTACCAGTCCCCTAACAATCAAAACAGAAAAAAGTGTCCCGATTAAATCAATGGACGAGGGCAAGAAATGCTGAAGCCAAACTAGTGACACTTCCCCACTGTTCATACAGTTTTAATAAGCCAGGCTGTTGAATGGCCACATTTGCTGATCAGGACCTTAATCATTCTCTTTCCACCGCCATAAACATCTTTAGTCTGGCGGCTCATTCTTGATTATATCAATAAAATATTCTGAACTCATATTCACTTGCTTAGCTATTCCCTGAGATATCTAAGTTCCCAGAGAACAAAACTTTTTCTTTGTCATGTGATTATACTTTTATCACTGGCCATTAATGTCCTGTTCTAATTGTGCAGTATTACTGTGGTGTCCAGATTCCAAGTCTTGTATATCCTATACTCATGTCACTGAAACACAGAGATGTTTTTAGTCCTGAGGCTGCTTTCAAACACAAAGACTTTAACTGTGGCTTAGTCCTAACAATGGGTCAGGCTTCAGACAAGGCCCGAATAGTTAACTGGTTGCACAAAACTGTCTAGTTCTTTAAATATTGTATTTCAATTATTGTGGACATTCAGATTTATTTAAAAAAGCTTTCAAATAAATATAAAGGTGGGTTTTCATTTACTGACTAAGCAAATGTTATCGTAAATTAAAATTGACCCGTATAAGATGTCAGTGAAATAGAACTCAATCCAAACTACAGTGAAATAAACTACAACGGAAGTGAGTGACTCAACTGTCCTCAACAAAGACAAAGCTGACCTATTTCATGACACATGACGGGAAAATGTATGCTGTCAGGTGAAACCATTAAAAGACACGAGAGATTGACGAAACAATAAATTAACTAGAAATAAACACTAAACCGTAAATGCAAAAACATTTAACCGTGTTGGTTGTTTAATTAGGTGAAATTTGCCTGTAACTGAACATCAACATAAATCAGTGAAAGGGTCAGGATGGAATAGTTAATTTGTAGGGGTACTATTTTAAGCAGCGGATTAATCTACATTTGCAGTTGTTGCGCGAGTGTTTATGGTAAATAAGGAGAATGTCACCCAGTGCAACAGTGTGGCTCATTGTCCTTTAATTGCACACATAGCAGGTTGAGGCCACCTGGGTGTACTGCAAAATGAAAACTACATGGCTAATCGTTTCTTAGTCTCTAGGTGCAACATTATTAGCCAGTAAAACCCATTAAAGTATAAGGTGACGTCTATGCAGGGATACTGCCTATCAACATATTGTAGAGCTTTATAATCCACTGTGGTATGATGATCAAGATATTCATTTAATGCAGTTGGGAATTGAGAGACAAATAAAAAGCGCAAGGTGCGTATCACACTGTAGACGCTCTGTAAGTCAATGAAATAGTTCATGAAATAGCGAACAACATGTTTCAGCTGGAAAAGGACATGTTTTTTTGAACGGCAGCTGGATTCTGGCGATGTCACCGGGTCACGTGAGAATCAGTCTCAATCGTTAGTTTAAGTCTTCTTCAATACAGCATGATGTTCATTTATTAAATTATGGTCCATTTAGAGGCAAATAGATCATAAAGTGGAGTATGCTTTAGGACAGGCTTACTGTGATTGACAGGTCGCTACCGCTACCAGAGCCGTATCCGGCGTCACTACTTAACTCCTCCGCATTCACGTCATGATGACTACGTCCACTTCTTATATACAGTCTATGGTCCAGATAAGCCAAAGCATGGACCAATCAGTGTCCAGTGAGGAGCTACTGGCAGCTAGGGGCGTGGCTTAGATGTGTGGGAGACGACACGGAGAGGCGACTGTTTGTTGGCAAACAATGGCGGCTCCCGAAGAGGTTAGCGTCAATGATCGGATTGCATCAGTTCTATCAGAAGAGAAAAGCATTTCTTCATTGAAAGAACAGCAAAGAACAGCACTGAAAGCTTTTATTCTGGTTGTGTGTAACAAACCATCAGGCGGGTCAGGTTACATGTTTGTTTAGGGCACTATGTTATCTCTACTGGCCTTCTCCACTCAATGTCTCTGGGGACAGTATATGGTGCTACATTGCAAGTGTTAAAGTGTATGGTGTCCATGAGTGCTTTAGTCCAGTGAACCATCAGGTAAATATACTGCAGAGAATGAAGTCCTGTTACAAACATCAACTGTGTTATCTACTTCCCCCTCCCAGCCCGGTGCTCTAACTCTGCCCGTCCGTCTCCATCTTTGTTTGTGTTTTGGTTTTGCTCCCAGATATTTCCACAACTACTGGCCACTTTAGCGTCATATTTCGTGTCAACATTCTTGGTTCTCTGTGGATAAACAGCCTAGTCGGCAGGAACATTTTTTGGCATTGAACATTTCTTCAAATTTGTTTTTTTGGCAGATCAAGTGGCGTAGTAAAATGAGCGACGAACAGAGCATTTGGCATTACGGAGCGTCCGTTATTTAAAGTTACGTGCTACAATATCGACTATAAAGAGCGAGAAAGTCACGGCCGACAGTATAGAAGGGTGTTGGACGAGTCAAACAAACTGGACTTACACTCAGGAGACCGTTGTTCGTGTCCCCTGTGAAACCAAAAGTAAATGTTGAGTTAATGCTTGTTACATAACGTTTGTAATCCTTGTTACGTAAGAAAGTCTGCTAAGGACGGTTGCTATTTATTTGAGGTTGTTACAGATGCATTGTTATGATATTTTTTTGAACACAAACCGTGATCTTTTTTCTCACCATAACCAAGTCGTTTTGTTGCCTTCACCTAACCAGTTATTTCACAACGTTAACCACTTTGTCATTGTGCGTTTCTGCAAGTGTGAAACGACGCTGATACAGTATGAATATTATTTATGAAACCCATTTTTGGTTCAAAAACGTCGGCATTCAAAGCATCCATTGATTTCAGAAACATACAATGCAAACAATTTTTCTGTCGACTGCATTGTGATAAAAATGTTTTGATGACACCCTGACCTTTGTCTTGCGCCACCATCCACCTAAAATTTCAAGCTCTGCACAAAATACTTGTAACTAATATTCAAGAAGGCATTAGATTGGGATTTCCTTGATAATTACAGTGAATATTTATATGGGATCAGATCAGTCTCAATATTAACAAATGCAAACAGAAGGATTCACAAATGTATTTTGCGATTTATTTGACTCTCCACAAAAATATGTTTTAATGCACACAAAATAATTATCCTTAAATAAATGTAAACAGAATCCAGTCGTAACAACAAATAAGGTTCACAAAAATATTTGGGATGCTCACACAAACATTTTTTGTTAAATAAGTGTAGTAGAAATACACACACTGTATGTATTTAAACAGATTTCAAATTCTCATCAAAATCATATTTGGATATTCTTACATACAAGCTGTTAAACCTGCATTTACAAACTGCTTGTCATGTGTGAACTTCACTGCATTTGTGTGTGGGATTTTTGGGACTCCCCTGACGTCGCTCGATTGACAAACAGGAAATTATCTGTTGCCAAACAGATGTCTCCTCCACTTTCAACCAATCACATGAGCCAGGGGACACAGGATTAGAACTGGGAATTGTTGTTTTTTTATTTCACTGTGTCTTTCAAACATTTTTGTAAAAATTCCACAAAATATATTCCTTATACTACTTAGTATTACAAGTAGTTGTAGCTATTACTACTAGTACTTGATTTTGGTTCAACCCAGTGTTTCCTTCTGTACATTAAATGATGTCATGGAAGTTATGCTTGCAAGATGCAGGATTGCTCTCAAAGTGAATACCTTTGAAGGTGACTGCTAGCATAGTGATCGCCAAGAAGAATTGCATGTGACAGAAAAGTGCCCATCTGCATGAAACTGACCCATCAGATCACTATCATACACTAAAATACTGGAGAGTGTTGGCCTTGTGGTATTTTTTTCAATATTATCCTGGTTTTTAAGAAGTAATAGATGTTTCTATACATATGTAGTAATCTGTGACATTCTATCTCTTTGCCTTTTTGATTCTAGCCCATGAAACATCTGTATGCGGATGAGGGCTCACCTGTGTATCAACAGCTAGGCCCGTACTTCAACGATGGCCAGCGGCGGGTAGACTATGTGCTGGCGTACCAGATCCAGAAGCCCAGCAGCATCAAGGGCCAGTCCTCCAGCTTCGGCGACAACAACTTCGTCCGCCAGCTTCGACGCAGCATGAGCATCAGAAGCAGCCGTGCCCTGCTGCAGCCGAAGGAAGACCCGGAGATCGCGGCCCAGAAGCAACCCACGGACTACCATGAGGATGACAAGCGCTTTAGGCGGGAAGAGTTCGAGGAAAACCTCCTGGAGATGGGGCTGGAGCTGGAAAAGGACGAAGGGGTGAGAGCTGAATGTGACGTGGTATTTTGACAATTGACCTTTTAACTACTGTTTCTGCGTCTGTCAAGCTATCCATTCTGGCACTGCACCTATGCAGCTTACAATCATAACGGTGGCAAATTCGTTCCTTGAATTTCATAGTCCTTTTTAAAAAAAAGTCTCCTTGCTTAAAAGGGTGACGTGAGTTCATTCTAACTGCTTAGCATACATACTTGTTCGTAATTTCATACAATTTTGAGAGAAAAGGCTTTTAGGATGAGGTCCACCCGATGTGTTCGGCAAATGTTAAGCTATCTCGGCCAATGAGTTTGTATGGAGTTACAGGTGTTGAAGCCAGCAAAATCCAATTAGTAGCTGGACGGGGGCTGCTATAGCTAAGCTAAACTCTGATAGCATCCTGGACCGGCTTCCACACGGTACAAAAATACCATACAGTGTGGATGCGTGACTTGTGGATGGGGCTTTTTTATTACAAACTAATGTAATTAGTTAATACACTGCTCCTTGTCCTTGGAAGCAACGTGCTCTGTTGCTACTGTAGACAGTGAGCTAGTTAGATGACATGCTAATGTTTGCAGCTTATGCTTAGCATTTGATTTAAGCGTTTAGCTTTTAGCTTATAAAGAGAGACCACCCTCCGAACTCTTTAGCACAGCCCGATGCGTGCCACTGTGAGATGTGGTGAAATCCAGTGTTTGAGAGACCTCCTTATGATCCGCTATGATCTGCTGTTTAGGGAGGGATGTAGCAAAGAGTCAATTATTCGTTAATTTGTGTATATTGAAAGTATTTTTTTGAGGCATTTATGCTGAGAATTGACATTTAAAAAGGGAAAGAATAGTTACGAGACAGCAGGTATGACATCGAGCAGGTCACATGGCAGATTCAGGTCATGTGACTGATAGTGGAGAGCCTCAAGGTGACTGGACTGGATCCATCCCCCTGGTCTCAATATCTTACTTCAACGCTACCTTTGTATTTCAATCTGCCAATGTCAGTGTAATGGGTCTTCCCGATTATCTCACCCTACAGAAGAGGTGCTACTTGCTATAAAATAGCCGTTGTCATGAGCTCATGCTTCAGGTACTTTTAGGATCAAAGTCGGTGTGATGTGTTCTGAATCAATATGTCCGTACGCTTTGGTAAATTGGGGTTAAGCTGTATGGAAGAAGGTGAGAATAGTTAATTATGTCGTACATATGGGCTCAGCTTGAAGACAGGGCTCAGTGTGTGACGCTGGGCACAGTCAGTAACAGAAGGTGTGTTACATGACCCTTTCTGTGTGTATGTGTGTGTGTGTGTTTAGGACAGCAATATGATAGGGATATAGACTACACAGTGCAGCTCTTTTCATTTAATATATATTGCATTATTTGTTTTTATCGTAAAATTCCATATTAAATTTAGGATTCATTCATGACGTCGCCAGTGCTTCAGTTATTATTATTTCTATTTTCCTTACAAAGTTTGTTGTGACTGTGATGCACAAGTAAGTGAATCCCATTGGCAATAAACCTGTTTGATTGTGAAAGAAAGTATATTAGAAAAGCTAGAAATTCAAAGAAGTATTTTTATATCAAGTTATTAGCGTTATATACTAACAACCTTCGAGGTTCTAGTTCGAGATGATGTGTATAACTGTGACAAAAAGAAAAGAGGGAATCAATTTTACACTTGATTCCCATATAAATGTGTCAATTTTATGGGCATTAAAGTGGAACAGAATGAGGCAAGTTCTATGGTAACGTTTTGCCTTTAAAGTTGCCAGTTTATCTCTTAAATAACCTCATGAATGGATGCCTACATTTGAATAATATAATAAATAAACATTAAATATGTTTAGATTTATTTTATTTTTTTTAAACTGATTGATCTAAGTTGAATTTGTTGACACACTTCTCATTTGAACTGACGCAGAGCACTACGTTGAAGCTTGTTTTTCATATTGTATCTCATCTAAAGGCTGATATTTGGTAGGCTGGAGCTGTTGTGCCACTGCTTTGTATTTGCTACACGAGTGAACCCATGAACACAAAAGAGATTTGTTTTCAATAATGGAGAAGCAGAGCTTTTCGTCATTTCTTTGTCAGTCTTCTGTAGAAAAGACAAATGGAGATAAATTGACTCTTCACGCAGTGAATCATCCATTAAAAACACTGCAGGAGCAGCCCTGTGACATAACGTAGCTTGATTCTGAATATGTTCTGAAAAAGGCTTTTAGCACCACTCTGTTTCATGATGTTACTCTAAATGACTTGAAACTTTGGAGCCAGTTTACTATGGAGGGCTATGGAGGCATAAGTGTGCCAAGTTACAGACTTTCTCAGTGGGTAGATGATACATTATGTGGTGACCGATTATGGATATGATTAACTCTCCTTTGCCAGTGCCATTATTTTCTTATATCAGTAAAGCTTGGCGTGTATTATCACAATATGCCATGGCCATTTAAAAAATATATAAGGAATGCACTGTAATGTTTCTGCTACCACGGCGCCCCACATGTTGCTTGTGTTAGTTTTGTTTGTGTGGACTTTAGCATCTAGCTCCGGTTCCCCTGACAAAAAAGCCAATTGGATTCTTCCATTGGATTTTGGATTATTGCAGAAAATAAGCTCTGTGGCAAAGAGAAGTTATTGATACTTGCATGTTTTGCTCAGCAAGATAATCTAAACAATTGAACACTACTTTTATGATTTTTGAAGGGTGAACGCAATCAGCAGAAGAAAAAAACTAACGCGAGGCAATAGACAAGCTACACTTGGTGTACTAGTGTTTGGTGCAGTGCCGTTTTGTAGTCTAATTTTGCCACATGTAGGCAACCGCCTTTTTTTCATTTAAACACGTAAAAGATTCAAAATCCGTGAGGACAGTTAATGACGTATTTTATGTCGTGAAACAAAACGTTAAATCTCTCAAGCTTGTGTTAACCACACACCTTATTTCAGGCATCTAACCAACAACACATTAAAAAAATCCATTGACTTTTATGATTTTAAACCATGACAATATAGTTGTTGCTATTTAAACCGATTCCTAATTCCTCATTAAGTTTCCACAGTTACACGCTTTAATTAACAGAAGCATCCATTTCATTCAAAGAAACACTGTTCCTTCAATACAAATTGAGAGCAACACCCAGGCAGATCAATAACAGGAGTTCTCGTTAGCCAGAGCAATTATTTCTATTTCATAATTATTTAACCCTTAAAGAGATAAGTTACTGATATGCACCTACAATTTATTTTTAAATGCACATGCATATAAACCCTATTTGTCATATTCCAATTTACAGTATATTAATCTTTGCGGTATCATTCCGGCTGCAGCAACCTTACTTAACAACAGTTTTACTTCATCAGCCCATGCATACTGTCATCAGACGGAACAAATAACATGGTCAATCTCTGTGATGTATACAGCCAGTCAGCTAGTTTGAACTGGTTCTTGTGTATTTCTGTATCCAGACAGGTCAGTGTGCCGAGCTGGAGGGTGTGAAGTGAGTCTGGCAGTGCATGAGTGGTTTTGCGTAACAGTACAAGCTGCAGAGAGAGAAAGATCCCACATGCAGCATTAAAGACGTGTTTGTGCTGAAATGGATGCAGTGGATTTTCCTGACAGGAAACCGGACTCTACCAGACAGTAGAGATCTGAATCTAACAGAAGAGCAACTTGCTGCTCTGCGGGCTGCAATGTTATCTTCAAAAATGTATTGTTGGATGTGGTTCATACATTTTTAGACAGTCATGAATTGCCCCCATATCCAAAACTTTGTTGCATTTCAGAAAAAGATCCCAGGAATCGGCTTCGTGAAGATCCACGCACCCTGGAATGTTCTGTGTCGAGAGGCTGAGTTCATGAAGCTCAAGCTGCCGACAAAGAAGGTACTCCTCCCGCCAGTCAATTCTCCATTTGTCATGTGCATACTTACCGTGGATTTTTCCTGAGGCTAACTGAATTGGCTCTTAGAGCTGCATTGCTGAGTGTGATAATTAATGTTTCATGTTCATCTCTCATTTCCAGTCATGTAGCATTATAACACCCCCAATGGAGCCAATTTGTGCTCATACAAGCCTTGGAATGAGATTTTGAAAAGAATCCAATAACCATCGAACACCTCACTACAGTGTACCTGATAGGTAACTGTCACCTAACCTGATAGGTAACTGTCAAAATCAGAGGTATTGGATATCGACACAAAACACATCAGCTGATTCAGTCAATATATATTGAATCAATATTGAATTCTACCCTCAAGTCTCTATGGAACAGTGTGCATTTCTGGAGACAAATACCGACAAAATGACAAACTGAGCAGTCAGGATTTAGACCATGCCATAGCGCACTGTCCTTTTATAGCACTAGGTGAACAACACATTAAAAGGTTTAAAGGCTATCTTTCGAGTAGATTTAAGCAGTTCCAAGTCAAGTACCCCTAATGTTAGTGAAGGTGTCCCGCAATGCTCGAGTTTTGGTCCTCTTCTGTTCGTTATACAAACAAACAATATCTCTTCTCTTAATCTGGCCACCTCAAACCTACAGTCTGCTTTTTGTGCATTTCAAATCAGTCTTATAAAACAAAAGCTTGTTTTAAATACTTACAAAACAGACTATGCTATTTTCAAGAACCAAACCCTTCAGGGCTCTCAAAGTGAGTAAGTAGACCCTTATAGATATAGGCTCAACTAGAAAAACTGACGAATTACCTCTGCTCTCTGATCACATCTAAAAACAGTATTGTAATATCAGATCACACAATATTTTAACTCTTGAAAAATAAAATGAGACCGACTGCAAATGGGATGCAAAGCATGCAATCTAGATGAATGAAGTGTCTTCTGTCTCCTCCGCAGGTTTACGAGGTGAAAGAAGGCGGTAATCTGGTGGAGAAGATCCGACTGTTCATTCACAAAATCACAGCTCCTCTCCACCCAAAAGTGGACACCAACCGGCCACAAAGCGTCAAATCCCTCTCTCACCCGTTCTCCAGGGAGAAGAAGCACCTGTGAGTAAAAGCTCTGCTCTGCTGTCAAGACGGTTGTTGTGAAGACGGAGCATCAAACTGACTGTAATATTTCTTAGACGTGTAGCTTGGTACACCTTTGCTTTGCCACATACAGTAGGTACGTAGAAAAACTACATGCCAAAGATTTGTATTGAGAGCTAGTGTTCGGGGTAGAGTACAATAAAAATAGAACTAGAAATAAGCAGGCTAAAAAACGATCAACCAAAGTAATTCTTTGATCAGTACATCTCTATTTACTGTGATACAAACCAATATGGTTTAAGATAAGATCTTTCTGACCAGCATAAAGATTTTTACATTTATACCTGAGCTGTTTTCTAGCTGAGGTAAACGGTAAACATTCATTTATGTAGCTTATGTGAAGCTATGCTAGTGCTAATTCTGTGATATTTGGGTTTACTGATGTGTTTTATGATGGAGGCTGTGACCCAGTAAAAGTCCTGCAGAGTTTATTAATATGGATGACAACAACCAGCGATCTTTCGGCTAGGGGACCGCTGTTCGTTCCCCCTGTGAAACGAGAGGTCAATGTTGGTTTATTGGTCATGTAACTTGCGTGATGTTGACGATATTTTCCTAAACCTAACCAAGTAGTTTTGTTGCCTAAACCCAACTGAGTCGTTTCTTGTGAAGACGGAAGTTTATTTTGAAAATACCCTATGCATGTGACGGGCAGAACTTGACACGTGTTGCTTAACATTTGTAGGAAAACTAACAAAAAAGGAGGAGTAACTTTTCATAAGAAATGCTGTACGAACCACTGTATGAGGATACGTTTAACTATGACACTCTAGGTAACCCTCTACCGCCATTGTTAGACGTGTCAGGGACAGCGTGTCAGTTTCCACATGCAGTGTCTTTTCAAAATAAACTCCCATGTTCACAGTAGGTTTACTTGGTTTTATGTTTTACTTACGCAAGTTAGGTTAAGTTAGGGCAACAAAAGATCGGGGTTTGGGTTAAAAATCGGTGTGTTTTAGCTATCCAAACTCCCCTCCTACTCGCCCTATGTAGACTTTCTCACTCTTCATAAAATAATTTGCTCTGACCGTCTAATGATGATGAGCTAGTTGAAAAGCTTGGTGTGACTCATACAGACGTTAAAGGGTGCCTCGGTGCGTCGGTATCAGATGCAGAGGGGCACTGAAAAAGCGTCGTCTTGGAGGAGTTGGGAGCGAGAACAGGTTGGACAGACACCGCCAGAGACTAGCTGGTGAACAAAGCGGAGCATTTAGCAGCTAAAGAGAGCTGTTGGAGAGCAACACAGAGGAACCCACACATTTTAAATATCTACATAAATGACAAAATTGTCCAATTTTATCCAGGTTAGTAGAGAAATAATGTCTGTCGATTGATGTAAACTTTGTCATAAATGAATGTTGCTTGAAGCAAATGATGGTACACTGTGTAATCAGAGTCATCAGAATTTAAGGGAAGAGGCAGACTATTGCAGCTGGCTCACAATTATACACACTCAAGTCAGAAAATGCCCACCAAACTACCATAATTATCTCACAGTTCAGTCCGAAAGGTTGGTAAGATATCGAGATCATGTTGGAAAATTCTCTCCAGCTATTAAATGTAAGTGATTTCTGTGTTATTGTAAGACTCTTTTGCAGAGAGCATTAACATTTTGTAATGTAATAAAGTGTATTTACATTTTTTCATGTTGTTTCACCTCTGCGCTAAAGCAAAGTAGCTTTAATCATTCAGACAGCATGGAGAGATAACAACCACAGAGGTGTAAATTGAACCAAAAAATCCCTCAACAGCATAACAGGATGGCTGAAGCATGACGCTCTCTTGCTGCCTCAGCCTTCTCTCCTCCGAGCAAAATAAACACATCCAGCCGAAATCACAAGTCATCTACATTTCTCAACACTGTGTTGGAGGATTTGTTAAAAAAATTGCACTGGATAGCTAACTAGATTAACTACGGACAGAAATCATGACTTCACTGACGCTTCCTGTTCAGTCCCAGCGAGTAAAAGCACTTCCAAAGGCAGCGATCAGAGAAGAAGAATGTCTTAGCATAAACGTCAGCCTGCTGGGACGTATGGAGGAGAGAGTGGGCAGCGCGCAGCTATATTTACATCTCTGACTAACAGCTAGCTGGAGATCTCCCTCCACGTCTTCTCCATCACTTCATCTTCATCAATACTGGAAACACTGCAGGCCTGTTCCCTGATATTAAGCCGAGTTATAGATTATACAGTGTAGAGCGGCTTTTCAAACCACATGAACTTAATCTGGCTTCTTCCACATGGTGCTTCTACATTTAGACTAGTCTTAAATTGGAGGCAGCAGGGACACAAGGACCATTTCAGTGCCAACAAGCAGCACTAGTTACACAAGTACTAACTGACTGACAGCAGCGGCCCACTCAGTATCTTGATGAGATGCTTTCAGTGCACACACACTTCCAAGTGCTTTTCTTCTAAGAATTACGTCCATATGTGCTAAGTCACTGGCAGAAATGTCTGTAGATTAACAGACGTTTGGTCTTATTTTGAGCTTTACCCTCAATATTACATGCAATTAACCATGATATATGATTGCATTAATATCAGTGGTGCAACGGATCATAAAACTCACTGTTCGGATCGTATCACGGATCAGAGTCACGGATTGGATCAGCGCAAAAGAAAAAAGCGAGCAAATATAACTTTTAGAGATCCCTGATCACATTTTTTCATCTGCCGATACTAATTGCAGATCATTGATGATCCATATTGTTGTTTGGTTATAGCAGCTGGTCTACAAGAATCCAGACTATTTTTTTAATCCGCGGTCCACATGCGTGCTGAACCGTGACGGGGGAATCCGTACGCATCACAGACCGACAATGATCCGTTACACCACTAATTAATATGATGTTTTTTTTAATGGCATATTATTGTATTTGTGCAGGTTTTAAGTGTAATTTAACAGTAAGTGTGAGGTTGTATTTTACAAATATTCCTATTCATAATCATTAAAAAATGCATGTAAAATTACAGGAAGTATTAATATTCCTTTGAATTGCCGGTCGTTAAGCACGTAAGTTTAGAAAGTGTTTTTATTTTTTTTAAGGGTAATTAAAAGTATTTGTAGAGATACAAAAAGTATTTCCTTTAAATAGACAATTGAAAAACATTATATTATTACAATATTATATCTTTACAGAGCTTACTATATCTTTACACATTTCTTGAGCCTGGTATCATGGGAGTTGTTGTCTTCACCACCACTGCCAGCAGGCCTGCTAACAAGTCTGCGGCTAAAACTGTATCTTGTGATGTTACTGCTCTTTAATATAAAATGCATCTATAAAAATGTATCGATGTTCCGGCGTGATGTCGGCTAAACACAGAGCCGATAACAGAGTCGATAAGGAGAGGAGTGACAATTAAAACAGTCCTGAGGAGGGAGAGAGAGCGTGGACAGAGGTCATCGATCTCACAGGGGCTGTGTGTCACAGGGTCACAAGAAGCACATTTCAGGAGCCATCAATTGAGGCCTGATTTAGGAAGGTAATTCATTGATTGAGGTTGAGGAAGAGTCTTTGTCAACTTTAAACAAACTCAAACAAACATCGCTCTATGTACGGTTTATCCCGATTGGCAGTAAATGTCACCGGTGATGCAAATCGCTGCTGCAAGTGAACTGCGTATGAACATGATTAGCAGGAGACAGGGCTGGCTGGTTAAGGCTTTTTAGAGCCTTCTTGCATCTCATCCTTTCATTTTTATGTTTTTGATGTGAAATTGCAGCCTGCAGCTTGCACTGCACTGAAACATAATGACCAAGCCTCCATTTCATTGTACTTGTGCATCAACACACATCACGTGACTTCAAGGTTATTTTAGTCCTATTTGTGGAGGTCTTTTTTTTTTTTTACATCACATACTGTATTTTATCTCAGTTTATTGTGTGGACAGCAAAAACAACTTCAGCATTATATTAATAATATTAGTCTGCTATAGAATGATTGTTGTTCATCTCAGCTCTCCTCACTTTCTCTTTCTTATAACTACTATGAAAGTAAAGAGAAGCATATTTAACAAATATGCTGCTAACAGTTTGCACCCTATATGCAACTAAAACTATATCTGTTATGTTCTTTGTTTTCAGATTTGATCTGTCTGACAGGGACAAGTTCTTTGACAGCAAGACCAGGATCTCAATAGTAAGTATTCGTTGAAGAAGATGACACGTTCTCACTCGAGACTCGTCAAATACGGCTGCTTGGTCAGGGGCCCTATACTTCAAACTATGAGACTCTACGTAGCCCTCTAGAGTCAGTTGCACGTGCCAACTTCCGGTCTTTCCATGCGTACACTGACTTTTTAAAAATAAACTTCAGTGTTCACAGAAAACTACTGGGTTAGGTTTAGGTAACAAAACTACTTGGTTAGGTTGAAGAAATGATCGTGGTTGGGGTTAAAATAAGTATGTGTGTTACATAGTTAAGTACACGCGGTATGCTAAGTACGTTACATAACAGGTTAAATACACAACGTATGCGAAGTATGTTTCGTACGGCTACTTCACTTCACTCACATACGTAACTTTAAATATGTCAATGTTGACTTTTGGTTTCATACAGAACAGAGGTCTCCTGGGTGAAAGTCATGTGTCTGTTTGACCTGTACTAGTTCACTCCTTTACACCCACCATTACTGCGGCAGAGTAGAGCGCCATTGTCAGAAGCGTATTGCCACAGATCAAGCTGCCGTGTTTGACGACTTAGGAGTGAGAACGGCTGAGTTCGAGGTCGCTCCTGTACAAACAGTGTTAAATTCAGCATAGTGACAGCATGTGTTTGACATGTTGCATTTATGGTTATAGATTCCCCTCCTTTAATATAGACAAATTTGCTTTTCTACGTAGACCCTGTCATCCCCAATATGCACTCCCCTCCAATAAGAACCCTTGCTTCTATATGACTCTCATGAAAGACTCTCATTCTGTGAATCTGCGTCATACATGTACAGCTGTATTAGCATACGCAAGTACACCTACACAGCATCTCACAGAGCTTGACTAATGACTGGGTAATGTGATTGGCTTCTCATTAGTGGATGGAGCTCCTCAATCAGTGCAGTCGTTGTTCTCCCAGCTGAGCCTCGGCTCCCATCAATAAAACTCTCAGCCTCTCTGAGGACGAACATAACAAAACTCTGCGGTTTGCCTGCGACGTTCTCCCTCTTAACAGCTTCACCTGTGCTATTAAACAAGTAAAATATTCATTGTCATGGTTTTAAGACTGAATGCTTTTTTGTATCGTCAGGTCTACGAGGTACTGAAGAGGACGAGATGCAACAGAACCAAGTACCCCATGGGTAAGACCTCAGCCTGTAACTCTAATACAAGAGATGAATCAATATGCAATTAATGTAGGTGCTGCGTTCATTGGAGTAAAGTGTAATTACCACCTCAAGAGAGGATGAGCCGTTGTCTTCATTGACCAACACGTCTACAAAACTCTCGGTTGGATTTGCCGACCGTCTTAGCCATCCTCCATGAGGCCAAAATTGAAGTTCCTCCTGACTCTTAACTCGTAGCATTTGACGTGCAGATTTATGATCCTAGGAGAAAGAAACCTGTCGAGTGCAGCGGGTCCAGGACCTTTCCTCTTGTGTTGCCATCGTGTCAAACCTTAGCTACCTGTGTGTTACTTTTCTGTCGCCTACGCAGTACAGTGTTGACTGACAGTGACGGCTAACTGGTCAGATTGGTCAGCATTAACTGAGGTCAACAGCCACTTGAGTGTTGTGTAGTTGAGGTAATTTGGAGAACATCTAAAAAATACGGGTTTGTTTCTGTGGCCGAAAATGCAAAGTAAATACGGGAAAAATGAAAAAGGGCATATTTTAAGTTTAAGGACTGGAGGAGAGAAATCAGGTGCACTTAACGTGTATTAACAGTTGTTTCAAAGCGTTTCACCCTAATATTTAGTTTGTCTTGGTAACCAGTATGTGAACACAGCAGTGACACTTGGATGCAGGCCAAAACAAGCCAAAAAAAAGCAACAAAACTCTTGAGTCTTCTGAAAAGGGGAATCAGGACATTGCTTTTTCTAGATGCTCGCAGGAGCAATAGTGGTGCAGAAGAGAACAAACCCAAAGAGGAAGAAGTGTTTTGAAGCAGATCTTCTAACATTTCTGACAAATGAGACAACAGCTTGCTTGCTCATGGTATTCGTTTACAGCTTCTGGAGACTTTGTGTGAACACAAACGAACCAAGGGGCAAATGCAACTATTATCATTACCAATAGGAACTGCTTTCCTGTTAATATAACAGACCATTACAACTCCATGATAGAGCTTCATCTGTCTTGGAAAACATTCCCCATACATGTAATTCTTCACCAAGAAGTCTTTCTTTTTAACTTCGAAGACGAAATGTAACAGTCATTTCTGGCTTTGACTCTAAGCTCTTCAGTTTTACACTGCTGCGTGCGTCTCCTCCTAGATTATAATCCTATTAAATGTGCCTTCTCACAGGGCTCACCAGTCTGCTAGCCAACGGCGACTACACGTCTGCTTATCCTCTACACGATGTGAGTATCACCATTGCACTTCACGGCCACCTCTCCCCCGCTGGCCTGAGAACAGTTGTTAAATTGCTGCTTATGTACCGAGAGAATGACTCCAATTCAGCAAGTTTCTAATGTGAAAATCACCCAAGCTTTTCCAGCTCAGCGACTCGTATTTTATTGTTAAATTAAAGTTTTTATTCATGATACGCATGTTAAACATAAGTGTATTCATCGTTACAGGGAGACATCGAGGGGGTGAACGCAGAACCTAACGACAGGAAGGTAAGTTGATTAATTCCACCAGTCAATAAATTGAGTCAGATGTCACCACAGCAACACTTCCGGTCAATTAACAGATAATCATCAGCCCAAAGAAAACATGGACGCACAAAACACAACCTGAAACTAGACTGCAGTGCCTTTACGTTTAATAAACCAGCCCAAATCCACTTATACTGCGCAGACAAGGCAACCTCGACTAGCAACCAGAGCAGTGGTATGGTGTCCACTGATTGGTCAGTTTCAGCCAATGAGATGTTTGATCCTATCCAGGGATTTTGATAGCTGACTTTGTCAGGTTTCTCAAATGAGGTCAGAGAGAACTCTGCAATTACAACAATGATAAAATAAAAAAGAGCATTTTGTTCGTACCAGATATGAGTAATAATCAGGACATGATTTAAATATAGAAATCCAGTTTGTCACCAATTTGGTCCATTTCACAATCGCTGTGTAAAAAGACATGCACATCAGTCTTGTCCAGGTGCTGTGTCTCAAAACTAACAGTGAATCATTCTATTACATTATCATCATCGGTTGTAAGACTGCAGATTTAAGAAGCAGACTGTGTTGTATTTACCTTATTTGATAGGGTTTTGGAAATTTGCACTTCAAAAACCTTCTGAAGAATTTGTCAAACTTGCCATTGCTCTCCTATTTTAAATTCTCTTATTACTTTTGAACTCATGTATAGAAATCTACAAGTAGTTGATAATTGCTGTGCACTTGATTTGTTCAATCTTCTCAAAACATTAAAAAGAGTTGCCATAGCAAATTACACTGTATGTGATTTAACCTGAAGTTCAAATAAATTGCTTTGGAATACATTTAAATTTAGTGCAAAATTGCAATATGATGCTATTTATTTTTATGCAACAGAAGCATGTACAGTACCTTTGAAATGAAGGTGCAAAAAAAGAAAGATATGTTATTTTTCACCCTGTGTCTTGATGAGTCATAATACATTTGACTTGCCAATTTTCCGAATTGTAGAGATTCTGAAAATGCGACTCAAAGTACAAAGAAAGTACTTTGGGGCAAACAGTGTGTGGACGAATAGCTTGCGGGTTGGCTAACCAAACAGCTAGCTTGGTTGGTAAAAAAATTCCTATACCCGCTTTGCGTGAGTCTTTTAATGCTGAAATACATAATACCAAAAACCAGGTTGTCTTTTAAGTATTTAATCTCTGCGCAGAGAAGGTTCAATCATCATAACAGAAGGCGTACAGTCTCAGTGAGGAAGAACCCAGAAACAAGTGAACAAGCTTTCTTTATACAGAATGAGCAAAGGTGGGGGCCGATGGTCAATGTTACAGACATTTTGGTCTCAGAATTTTGGTCTCAGACTGATAGGAACAACAATGAAAAACAAACGGCCAGCAACCAAAACAAGCGGCCCAAAGGCCTTGGTGCTGGAACATTCTCCTACAACACAGTTAGTTATCTATGTGAACAGGCAAGGGAGAACTCTTCTTCTGCACAACAGAGACACAGTGAAGTGACTTATGCGTGAATACAATGTACTGAGTAGAAATATATACTACGTGAGTAAAAATATATACTACGTAAAAAAATGACCATTACACTATAAACGAACCAAACAGCTAGCTTGGTTAGCCAGGAGCAAGTCTCTACCCAGCTAGCTACAAAAGCTAACACAAGGGTCTAATTTCTGTGCCGAGCTGAGCGTTGAACATGATACATGTGATTTATGTAAAATTGAAGTTTACTAAGAAAGCTTCAAAAGGCTCACACTGCTCGTCCCTATATTTGTTTCTTTGCTGGAGTCGCGTTTCATGAAATTCTGCAACAGAAGGCATTTGCCACAATTGTGTCAATCGGACCCAAGTTTAAAATGCAGGAAATGTACACAAATAAATGTCAACTAATATGATACTGCATCTCCTTGCAATCACAACAAAATTACCAGATCTTCTTCTACAGGTCATATTTCACCCCAACAACAGTTTTTAAAGTATTCTTTTCATCAGGAACAGATCAAACTAAGGCAGCAAAATGCTCTCAAATCGTTAAACTATAAACTTTCCTCATAGAGATGAATGATTCCTCTCAGTTTACATGAGTTTTGGACCTCCTGTCCTCCAACACAGCGATACCTTGGTGACTGAAACATGCCACTCACTGAATTACACCTTAACGATGGAGGCCAGACTACCATGCTAACGCGACAGCGTTTGTGCGTCTCTGAGCATTTACCTCCTACTGTACGAGAATCAAATTAACCAGGCGACTGAAAATAAAATAAGAGCTCACGTCGAGTCTGAAGTCATCTCCTCCCCTGCTAACGCTCTCCATAATTATACTGTGGGCTGTGTGTCACTAAGGCAACAGCCTAATAATTCCCCCTCTGTTGTTCTCAAGCATCAGGGAAAGCTTTAGCTCGGTGTTTTCAAGTGCCTCCACAGCAACATACTATATGCACACATATATATCACAAATCCCACGTGTTCCTGCTTAAGAAATAGATTTTCCTCGGCGGACAAAATGAGAATGTTGTCTCCGAGCTCAATCTGGCATCTGAACGCCTGCCTCCTGTGATTAAAAGCCTTGTTACCTCGCTGCTCCGCCTGTGAACGGAGTGTGATCTTGTGTGTGTTTCACAGTGATTAATGTGCTCTTTGCCTACTAGCAGTGGGACCAGAGCACATACGCAGTCAGCTGTTTGATGATCATTGTAAGGACCGGATCATACAGCAGTGATTTGCATATAAATTGCGCTGGGAAACACACACACACATACACACACACAGGTATCTGTGTTGTTTTGGTTAGACTTCTAAGAACGCACTCGTTCACAGTCTTACATTTTCCATGTAACATCATAAATTATATATGACTAGAATTAACACTGCAATGAATGATGTTCTGCTCACATATGCACATATCTAATATCAACGAACACCCCAAACTAAACTATACTGAAGCAGTAAATGTGGAAAATACAGCTTGAAATTGATCATTTACTGAAGAATCTGCTACAGGTGGTTACGAGATGAGATCAGTACTAAATCTCACCTGCCCTTTTTACTGATATAGCCTGAGGTGGAAATCTGCCTCCTAATAAAATACGAAACATGGATTCATAGAGAGAGTCTGTCTTTTCGGAGTATTATTGCATTAAATAAGGTTCACATTTCTAAATGCGGATCTTCCAGAGGGCTAGCAAGAGAGATACTGAATGAAGAATGATCAATCTGCATTAATAAAAAATATGAAACGTTTTTTGGTCTGCAAATTCAAAAGTCAATGCAATTTAAGAACAAAGGAAGTAACTGATCTTCCTAATTACTTGCGGTTGGCCTGGTGTATGTTCTGAAATCTACAGCATTTTAGGTGCAAAAGGAGCTTCCTCCAGCTAGTCAGCATTATGCCCATTTCACGCAGGACGCGGCGTGCGCAAAGCTAAAAGCGTCAGTGGTGCCACGGAAATAATGGCTTTCAGAGCACAGTGGCATTGTTGCCACGGTGTGTATGAAAGGCCCATTAGAGAACTGAATCTTCACTGGCCTAACGATCTGATTAAACCAGTCGGTTTTCAGCTGATCGGCCATGACCAGTGACCGGCCAATCAGTCTCATTTTCACACGGCTGACACATTTTTTAGAGGCACACACAGTAACGTCACAGCCACACGCCCACACACACACACACACACACACACACATGTGGAAATATAAAGGTTGCTATTTGTCACAACTACAAGTCCAAAATAAACCGTGGAGGAACAAAATTGTATGTTTTTATTCATCCAAATCACCACTACGGATGACAATAACAAAGTAAACATTTAGAAAATTTTACAGGTCAGACAAAAATCGGAAATTGGGAAAATTGCTATCGGTGCATCTCTACATCTCGAGGCATCTCAATGTATTACATCCTACATTTTCTATATTACTGCACATGGATGCTTTTTCGTCAATTAATACAAGTAGCCTAGTCAGATTACAGCGGCCTGTTATATCAAAAGCTTAATTTTTTCAATATATGTGTGAGCCATCTCAGAACATAAACATTATGAAAATCAAGTCAAAAATATCTGCTGTCAAAAAGGTCTATAGTGGGAATAGGAGAACATTGGATATTAAGAATGTCAGCAATGGATTGTTTCACATAAAGCCCGGACAGAAGAAGTCCCTGCTGGATTGGAACACGGTCTCCCTTTAAAGTTAATGGTTATACATGTTACAGCCTGCAGGTTTGTCTTTAATTACATTGATTTCTCGTCACCCAGCACTTCCTTTGGTTGTGTTCTTATCGCCGCGTACACCACAAGCTTGGCACTGCTGCCTGAGACAGCATGTGCATGAATATGCTGCATCAGATTTATTACACATTATGAAAATATAATTGCAAGGAATTTTGCATATGTATCTCTAGTGCATCAGAGAGCTGGCTGTGATTCACAGTGATGAATAATAAATCATCAAATAAAAGCCAGTGGGCAAATATTATCTGATGACCGCCATAAACAAGCAAAGGCTAGCAGCTAATAAAAGGCCGGGTCCATAAAGTTTCATATAATTTAGCACGTTTCCACAGCAACAATAGAGTCATGTGACACTTACCACTCTGCTGCTCTCAGTTTCTCTTTTTAATTCCTACTCTACTTTGACATTCTTTCTATCGGTGTTAACAGTCTGTTAATTACTCTTATACTTCCTGCCTTTTCACATTAAAAGCCTTTTTTTACATTTCATTGGCAGTAAAGCAACTTAATACTGGAGCTGAAAAAATGAGTCAATTGATCAATTAGTTAATCAAATAATTATAATAATTAAACAACAATTTTCATAATCGACTAATTGTTTCGATAATCCTGATTCCAACCTCTCTATAATTTGTGTATTTTCTGCTTTTGTTAGACTGTTTGAAGCCGTAACCATCAGCTCTGGGCACTTGTGATGAGTATTTCTCACTATTTGCTGACATTTTATAGACCACACAAATTATCAGTTTATTAAGAAAATAATCCCTAGGTTAATTGTAAATGAAAATAATTGCTTTGTACACCCTTATCTATCTTTTTCATAAATAGCAAATTAGAAGGATTATTCTATTTTCTGTTAGAGAATATACATAATATACATGAATCTATCAAACAAACATGTTAACATGGAATAATTATATATTTGCTTCAACAGCTGCTTCAGTCATAAATCGGACGATTGAGCAGCTGATGGTCCGTCTCTGCGTATAATTACTGACTCGTGCTTCTCTTCACAGCTTCTGTACGAGGAGTGGGCCAGCTACAGCGTCTTCTACAAGTACCAACCTATCGGACTCATCAGGTCAGATTCGTAGCACTGCTCTTGTCACTCCCATCAGGGGAATCGTAGACACGCTTGCAGTTCTCATACGTTTGCCATGGTTGGTGCTCTCACAGCAGCACTAACTGCCCTGACCAGACCAAGACCAAGACTCTCTCGAGCAGATTGATGGTCCACTGAAGCTCTTCCACAGAAACACAACTGTCATTTGCTGAGCTGAATGTGGTCCAGGGAACAGACTGTGAGCTGAATCTCATGTTGTCTCCTATCTAACACATTCTGCTCGGGGAATGTAGTAGGCCTACTGGTGTCATTTGACAAATAATGTGGCTTTGATATTCATTTAATATAATGAACATTAGGCCTACCCAATCATAGCGACCGAGATCTCATTTGTTAATGGTGTAACGGACCATTGTGATCCGTACGGATCCCCCCTCACGGTTCGGCATGCACGTGAACCGCGGATGAATTACACAGTTTAACGTTTACCATCACAATGTGAAATAAAGTTTAACTGACGATCGTTGTCCGCCAATATTCAGTAAAATACGTCATCAGGACGTCAGCAGGGATCTGTAAAAGTTACATTTGCTCCGTTTTTTTTTTATGCTGATCTGATCTGTGACTCTGATCCGTGATATGACCCAAACCGTGACTTTTATGATCCGTTGCACCACTGCATAATGTGCACCTGTTTAACAACACATGCAAAAATGTTTCCCAAAAAATTAATTTCTTTGTATTTCTATATCAAAATCGAATTATCTTTTGCTTACGTAAGCCAACCAATAATATCAGGACATCCATCAATCAATCAATCTATCAGCAACTTTTAGTAACAAAGGAGGTTTGTGTGAAGCCACAGTCCTCTGTAGCTCAGTATCACGCTTCATTCTAAGCCCGCCCACTTTATAGCGGTCCAATCAAAGGATTAACTGTTCACCGCTCAAATATTCTATTTCACTGGGGAATTTATCACAGTACAGAAACTGAAGATGCTCTAACTTTTGAATTATTATGGCTTTAAGGGAGAGGTATAATGACTTGTTTGACAGTGATGTGCTGATGTTGTAAATGTTGCAAACACCTTCGACATCTCTTTCTACAGGAAGTACTTTGGGGAGAAGGTCGGACTATATTTTGCCTGGTTAGGAGTCTACACACAGATGCTGATCCCTGCAGCCATCGTTGGAGTCATCGTATTCCTCTATGGATGTGCCACTGTCGATGATAACATACCGAGGTACACACACACACACACACACACACACACACAATAATTTTCTTGAAAAATGTCTGTTCGGTCTCTTCCTACTGAAACTCCCCTTCATTTGTGTCTTGTACTTTTGCAACTGCATCATTATTTGTTAGCTATCCAACTAGCCAGCTAGTTAAAAACAACTGGTGGTAAAAGGTTAAAATACTGACCTGCAAATCTTTACCACTTCCCCTGGTCACTGCCCCTGATCTGTGCCAGCAAGAAAACAGATGCTTATATGTGATCAGCAGACAGTCAAAACTAAGTTCATATTGATTTGCCTCACTACTACCTGCTGCCAAAAACTGTGTGACTTTGAATAGCCTGTATATAAGAAGTGGATGTAGTCATTGTGACGTCACCCATTGGTTTGTGGACTGCTGTTTTGAAGACTCGAGTTCGGCGATTTTGCCGTCGCCATCTCTGGTAGTGGCAGTCACCTGTCAATCACAGTAAGCACGCTCTAAAGCAAACCCTGCTTTATGGTCTATTACTTACTTAATACCATAATTTACTAAATTAACATCACGTTGTATTGAAAAAGACTTGAGACTCACGATTGAGACCATAAACATGTTTACAATGTTTACTGAGGTAATAAATCAAGTGAGAAGTAGAGTCATTTTCTCACAGACTTCTATACAATCTGACTTCTTTTTGTAACTGAAGGAGTCGCCCCCTGCTGGTCAGTAGAGAGAATGCATGTTTTAAGACACTTCCGCATCAGCTTCACTCGGCAGAAGTGGAGGTTGCCGCCTGGTTTCACTTCATTCCAGCACAAATTTAATTGTTATAAGAGTTTAATGTGAAAGAAGTGTAGTCTTGTTTACTGTTAATTAATTTATAATGATTCTTAAAACCAGTTGATTAATATGGGAAAGGTGTACGTTAAAACACCGTGGCAGTTTTTCAACAGCAGAAACAAATGGCCTGTTATTAAGATGGAGATCTCTTGCATTGATGGTAAGCACCAGGCTAAGACCACACCCTGACTCCACCCATTCACGCTAAAGCTTCAGGTTTATTGTGACACCAGCTCATTACAGGCTTAACATGTACAGAGCACATTAGAGTTTGGCAATAGGATGATATTCATCTGCAATAATACCTTCATAATGACCCATAACTCTAAACTGCAACTAACTCAATACACCTCACACAATATATACTACACAGAGTTGACTCACGGACAAGAACACACACTCACGCTGCACATTAAACAATACAGCAGGGGGCTACTTTCATGCCACCCGGCTCTGACCCTGCCCCCATACATACATTCCGGACAAACAAAATATCCTTTAGGCAAGGGATGATAAGAAAATTGAATGTCGTAATTTTCCTGATAATGGAAATTCCTCACGATCAACTTGTTGTGTGTTTTTTATCCCGAATCTGCTATAAAATCTGACCCATCCCTCGTCGCAGCATTTCAGTCTCTCCTTCTGAACTCTCCTTCAGTTGAAGCGCCACTGGAAACCCATACTAGTCGCACAAAGAAAAAAACAAAAATTACTATGATGGAAAGACAGGAATAACCTCTCAACATCTCGCCTTCACCTTCTACAACAAGCACTTTTCAACAGAAAGACAAATAGCATTGAGAACAACAAAATACTGTAGATCCATTTCACGGATGTCGGGCCCTATTCATCAATATCACTCACCGTTAACCAACCCCCCACCCCCCCTCTATACAGCCTTCTCAATGGACAGCTCTAAAGCCCTGCCAGGTCCCTCTATACTACAAAAGCTAATTTACATATTCATTTTTCATTCCTTCCTTATTATTGCAACCTTATTATTGTTTTGTTTGTTGTATCACGTCAAAGTCTAGTTCTTCTTCTGTTTTCTTAGTCTTTTCTTGGGTATTGTGGTTTTGCACCGCCTGTAAGGTCACCGCTGTTTTGTTTCATGCACTAATAATAAAAATAAAGTGAATTTATACTGAGGAAGCTCTAATATATCTGGGGGTGTTGGACCATAATGGGCAGTGCTGCAAATCAATGAGCAGGACTAGATTTACAGTATATAGGATTTCAACATGATGCCAAGTCATACATAATTCAGGTTTTTCATTTTCTGCATTAACAGAAACCTGCCTTATTTCGACCAAAAGCAGTTTATTAATTGCTGTTCCTCAAAATGTACTATATAATGGTTTGTATTGTTGTATCACATTGTAATGTGATAGATTACTTTATCCAGATCAGCATAATCAGTCTGATGCTAACTCTAAAGCCGTGTTCACACCAAACGTTTGGTGTGAACACGGCTTAAGTCTTCACATCCTCCCTGAAGCACTGAACCATTTTAGGTTGATCTAGATATTGGGAAATACTATCAAATGTGGAAAACTTCATATTACTGTCGTGGCCCAGAAAAACAGACACGCTGTAAACAAAATATATTAAGAACAGTGTTTACACTGCACCCTGGGGTGGACGGGCCAAGGGTGCCGTAATATTTTTCATATTATTGTTCATTTACTGTGCTTTTTGGATATGTTTCACCACATTAAAACAATTGGTGACATTTACATGAACTATGGTTTATGTTACGGCTTCAAAATATATTAAAACAGAAGGGAAAAAAACTAAAAATAGTTTGTTTATCCTTGTAAATCTTAAAAAGTAATATCATAATATTATATAACTCATAAAAGGCGGCTGGGGCCTTCCTGTATGGAGGTGTTCTCCCTGTACGAGCCTGGGTTTCCTCCCACAGTCTAAAGACATGCAGGTTAGGTTAACTGGCCCGTAAGTGTGAACGTGAGTGTGTGAATGGCTGTCTGTCTCTGTGTCTCCGCCCTGTCTGTGATTGACTGGTGACCTGCCCCGTGGGGGGGGGGGGCAGGGCAGACTATAGTGCACTGCTCGCTCAAAAATGTCATATCACAACATTCAGATGCCTGGCCTGTGTGCTCATGCAAACAGCTTCCCACTCAACACCGCGCTTCCTCGGGTCCTCCAGCAATACACCAATACACCTGCTGTGACATCGTTGCGTCACACACCCAAGTCACAGCTACTCACTGTCAGAAACACAGCTGAAATACAGTCCAGGGGAAACAACACCAGGGGAAGACGTTACCGTTATAATAGGCAAGGTAGACAACCTGGGCCCCCAATTAAAAGGAATAGAAAGATTTCTTATGACGTTTAGATATAAGAAAAATATTGAATTATATTCCATAGCACATAAAGCTATGGAACTCAACTGTACACCACTTACTATTTACCTGTTATTTAAGATTATTATTATTGTAGGGTTTTTTAGACACTTTTAGTCTGAAAGAAGACAGGTTATGAAAGCAAATTACCCCAAAATGTAACAATGTTTTTTGCCAGGGATGTCTCTCCTAAATATTGAATGTGTTATATGTCCAATTTGCACAAAATTCAACTATGAATTAGATGGGATTAATGTTGAGATATGCAAAGCAAATACACACATACATACAGAAGGACAGACGGACAGAGATTCCTTGCTTTATGGTTCAATAAGCATCTGTGTACATACAGTGTGTTGGTCGTTGGGTGGCTCGGTGTGCCATTTTGGCAACCACTGCTTTAGATAGACAATATGTAGCAGCACTTCAATTGTAACATGTTTATTATGTTTTCTTCATTTTTGCCATCTAATCTAAATCTTAACCCTTGTTCTGATCTCCCTCCACCATCATTTTCTTTCTGTCCTCATCCCTTTCAATAATTCATCTGCCAGTATGGAGATCTGTGATCCCAGGAACAACATCACCATGTGTCCGCTGTGCGACCGCGCCTGCAGCTACTGGAAGCTGAGGTCGGCGTGTGGCACGGCGCGAGCCAGCCACCTGTTTGACAACCCGGCCACTGTCTTCTTCTCCATCTTCATGGCCCTCTGGGGTGAGTTAAAAAAAGACACGCACATCCAACATGCCATAGGATGGGTTCTGGATCAATGCAATAGGCTATCTAACAGAATTAAAACACATAGATCAGCACACCAAGTAGCTCCCTTTAGGAGGATTTTTATTGCTGTGTAGCGTTCCCAGCACCAGGCTCTTCCTCAGACCCTTGGGGCGAAGACACATTTTGCATCCAGTCCAATGAAGCCCATACAATCCATTCATTGCTGCTTTTGGCAGACAGACGCGAATACTGAACCTTAAGCGCACATGGAATGTACAATAGGAACCCGCAAAGGTAACTCTTGAGTAAACACAGAGCCGCTCCTCCTCTTGATGTCTTGCCAAGCCATGCTGCCATCTGTTAAGCAGCAGCAGGGCTGCAGACCAGGGGAGGGGTTGTGTTTTTGGATGAAGTCAGTGTCTGACCGAGTCCCAGTATGCCGGCCATCTGGGCTCACGTACTGCAGACCCAATGATGGAATGTACCGTCAGACTTGATGCACTTGTTGGAAATCACTGTGGTAGCAAAGTAGCAACACGTGGGTGCATGTGTACACAATGAAAGTACTTCATCATGCTGCAGACTGTTGCCTTATTGTCAACTCATCCCATGAAAAGACCCAAACCAACAGTGAGCGTATCCACTAACAGAGGGTGTGAATCAAAGCATTTAAGCCTTTTTTTATAAAAAAAAAGAAAAATGAGATTTCCATCTTCATTAGGAACCAACATACTTGGAGCTTGGAGCTATAGAGACTAGAGTAGGGAAGTATTGAGAGATTGAATCATGCACTACTGGTACAGTGTGGGATTTGTTGTGAGTAGTGTTAATTGCACTGTCAATGTCATTGTAAACGCTACAATTAAAGGCTTATAGTGATTTTAGGTGCAATAGCTGCAATTAGTCACACCGGGTAAGTCTGCCGACACATCTTCAGATGGCATGAAGATATATATAGAAGATATATATATTCATTTCTTGTATATTTGCCACTTTAATCTAAGAGAACATTCATGATTATTTCTTCTCATAAATATGCAACTTTATTCTTGGAAATTCTGAGTTTTTTTCTCAGAATATTACCCATCCCCCGGCTCCTTAATAATTTTTTTTTTTTTTTTTTTTTTTTTTTTTTTTACCAGCAATGGCCCTAATTGGCTGTTGTATAGTTTGAATGTACTAATGGGTAAATGTAAGCGGGTAACTGTGAAGCTCTTGGATGAGTCGGAAGGTGAAAAGGAGCCCCGTGAATGCACGTCCATTCACCATATGTGAACATGAGTGCAGAAAGACTATATGATAAGACAATATGAAAGATTGCACGTTCACACTCACATATTCCTTGTCATGGTGTAGACAGTGTAGACGTGCAACGCGCCTGTGTTCAGTTCGCTGTGTCTGCTTGGTTGTGCAGCCGTTCTCTTCATGGAGCACTGGAAGAGACGACAGATGCGACTCAACTATGTCTGGGACCTGACAAACTTCGGAGAGGAGGAGGAGGTGAGGCATTCACACGTTGAAAGATACACATGCATGAGTGTCCGAGCTATAGAAGAAGAGAAAACTGGAGCGGGGATTAGAGAATTGGGACGAACACTTCTCCGAATCTCATTTCGAAGTTTTGCAAACTGAAATTGTCTACTTAAGGAAAAGCATATTGTCAACTCCCACCTCACGATGAGACGTTTATTACCTCATGAAAGGATACAGACGCTTTTCACTGCACTTAACTTAAAAGTCACAAAGTAATGAGGACGACATAGAGGTTAGGATGGGAATGCACCTCGTCTGCGCTCCGTAGTGAGTCAGCCTTCAGCAAACACGGTCCCACACAAACATCACGGCCTCAGGGCATCTTTTAAAATCACGATGAAACGGAACAGTTTACCACCATTTGTCTGTTTTGCTCTAACGGTGAAGTGTTTTAATCTTCAGAGACAACGGCCCGCTGACTGACTTCTTTGTTTTGTGTGTTTTTTGTGTGTGTGGTGTGTTTCACAGGAGGAGCATAAGGTTTGGATCCGACGTGCTTTATACTTGCTTTAACTCAGCTTCTCTCCTTTTTTTTTGCCTGACTATTTTAGATCCGTTCTGCAGCCGCTAACACTAACCTTTTTCTCCATCAAGCTGCCTCAGGTCTTTTCACTTGACGCCCTTTTCATCTTCCCTGCTCCCGTCTTATGTTTTTTTTTTTTCCTTTCTATAGATTTTCTCTTTGCCTCTGAGGTTCGCCCTAACGCTGGCCATCCCTGTGGCCTCTTGTTAGGGTGGCCTCTCAACATAATGCTGCTGCTGTTGTTTGTGATGGCAGCGGAGTGGACAGTTTTGTTGACTCATAGCTCTTGTCCTTGCTCCTCTTATAATTCCCTGAGACAAACGTTCCCTCCATACCCATAAGGAGGGCAGCACGCACAGTCCCAAAGTCAAGTAATATACCTTTAAATAGAAGAAGTGGGTGCAAAATATGGCCTGAGCACCCTTTTTAAAACATTATAAAAGGAACACAACAATACATTTTTACATGCACATTTTTTAATATAATTGATATAGCCGGTATAATTATTTCAGCTCTTGGAGACTGAGGTTTCCAATATTGTTGAGTAATGGTGTAATGAAAGTAGCGACTATCAAAGGGGACCCATTGTCCAATTTTGTCCTTGCCCACAAGAAACTGACAAAAGCCCATGCAATCTCAGCTCACTTTTTATTGGGCCCACATGGACATGTTGGCTGGGAAGACAGCGATATGTCAAACTCATACATTTCTAAAATACCTAAAAATAGGTTTCCTGTAACAGGACCAAAAGAGATCAAAGATGCAGGGTATCTTGTTCTAATTTGCACCTTATATAAAAGTTGAATCAGTGAAACAAGTACAGCCTTTTGAAGTGTAAAAACTGAACTAAAATGTGTTTTTATACTAACAGATATATTTTTGAAAGGTTCTTGTAACACAGAGAATCATCCACCTTATTGTTTTGCTTTTACGGCACAACAACTTTACAGTCTTGGTTCTGTCTCCCAACTCTCATCTACATCAAGCGTTTAGCCACCAAATTATTCTCAGGTGTTGGTGGAGACCAAAACAGAGCCAGAAGGGCAGTGAAATATTGGACTTAGATTCTACAGGTGGCCAACCATGACTCCAAGTAATTCCTAGAGTCTGTATCTGCTGATTGCCAAGACGTTCACCACTACAAATCATAGACTGTATAATAAGTGGATGTAGTTGCCATTGAGTCACCCATGGGTTTGTGGACTATGGTTTTCAAGCAATTTTTTAAGCCGTCGCCATCTTGGTTTTCTGGAGTCAGATATGACAATATTTGGACGAGAGGATGGAGCTGGCAAAGAGTGAGGCCTGGCAGGGCCAGGTGCCGTTAGCGTCGTGAATGCTAGGTTACCAGATAGCGCTAGCTAGCAAGGTTAGCAAGCTGCATCCGTAATTCACATTAACTATGATATTAATAGGGATGCTAATTACTGATGGCGAAAAACAGGCTTCAGACAAAATGTTGTTAATGGAAAAAAAAAGGAACTGCCAATTCCTTAGATTGAACAACGACGTAGTTCTGACCTATTTGACCTGAAATGGACCATAAATTACTCAACGAACATCATGCTGTATTGAAGACTTGAAACTAGCGATTGAGACCATAAACTGATGTTTACAATGTTTACTGAGGTAATAAATCAAGAGAGAAGTAGAGTCATTTTCTCACAGACTTCTATACAATCAGACTTCTTTTTGCAACCAGAGGAGTCGCCCCCTGATGGCCAGTAGAGAGAATGCAAGTTTAAGGCAGTTCCACATTGGCTTCACTTTTCAGACCTCCTTTTGTGTCAACTTAAGGTGATAATATGTCCGTGTTGTGTTTACAGCTTGTTACAGTGAGGCAAAGTAGCCGGAAAAAATTAATTGATGCAGCTGGAAGTAAAGCAGCAGTAATGATGAGGACAGAAACAGTATTATTGCTTCAGAATATGAAATAATACAAGAGCAATTGTTACTTTGGATATTCCACATCTTGAAGAAGTATGTTTTGTGTCTATAGGCAGCTTCTCTCTGCATTTGGGTCATTTTGTGTCTGTCTTCACTTTTTCCGTCTTTCTGTACATCAGCTTGCCACGTGGATCTATGGGCCAAAAGTGACCGTCTAACCTATCAGCTTTGTTTTTATGATACAGTTTCCTCTTCATTCCTCTTGGCTTACTGCAGACTGGGCCGACGCATTTTTTCTCTTTTCTTGAACAGAACGCTGTACTCTAATTCAAACACACCATTTGGCAAAAACTTCACACAAACAGGCTGCTCATTTTAATTTTATCCCTCCATTCTGAAATACCACAATGATCATTTTCTAACAGTTTGTTGTCTTGTGCACTCACTGCTTCATAACATATCAGGTATAGCGTAATCAGTAACTGTAACATCCAAACTGATATTTTTTTCTCTTTCCAGGACCACAACCGAGCGGAGTACGAGTTCCGGGTCATGCAAAAGACAATGAGACAGGAGCATTCCACCCCGGAGGTAAAACCGATTAAAGCGTTACTGCACAGTCAGATGAGTCATCATCTTTTAGAGATCAGCGATAAGGGCTTTGGGACCATAATTTACTAAATGAACATCATGCTGTATTGAAGAAGACTTGAAACTAGAGATTGAGACCATAAACTCATGTTTACAATGTTTGCTGAGGGAATAAATCAAGTGAGAAGTAGAGTCATTTTCTCATATACAATCAGACTTCTTTTTGCAATCACAAGAGTCACCCCCTGCTGGTCAGTAGAGATAATGCAAGTTTTAAGACACTCATCGTATCGGCTTCACTCGGCTGAACCGGAGGTTGCCGCCTGGTTTCACTTCATTTCAGTGCACTTTGGTATTGAACTTGCAGAGAAAATGGGCGATATTTCTAGGGTTCAACCAAGCAACTTCCTCTTCCTGAAACACTGAAACATGCACCGACACATTTAACATGGGCATGTCTATTTGGATTATCATCCTTTTGACTTTTGTCTTGTACCAAGGTCACATATTATTTCTCTTCAAATACACACACACACACACAGACACACACACACACACACACACACACACACTTCCTGAGCTTTCTGACCCAGTTCTAAGTAGGCTTGGATGTGACATGATGGCTCAGAGCGGAATTAGCTGTGCTCCACTGCCGCTACATAGTGTCTGTGTGTGTGTTTATGGTGTGTGTGTGTGTGTGTGTGTGTGTGTGCTGCGTGCCCTCAGCATTAAGAGCTGCTACTGACAGAGAGACATGACACAAAGGTCCAAACAGCTGGAAATGCGGTTAATGTTTCAGACATTCTTCATGTGTTCTTCATGTCACTCACATAACTGTGTTTGTGTGTGTGTGTGTGTGTGTGTGTGTGTGTGTGTGTGTGTGTGTGTGTGTGTGTGTGTGTGCGCGTGCGTGTGTTCAGGATGAGAAGGTGAAGCTGACCTGTACCGACAGATTGCCAGCTTACCTGACTACCGTGGTGATGATGTGCTTCATGGTGAGTCTCAGCGGCCTCCCTGCAGTGTTATGTCCCCTAGCCTTTGTATTTCTAACTATTGTATGACATTTGAAGCAAAGATATACACTTTTTGCGCTCAACTCAACAGTTAGGGAGAGCAGGGCTCTAGTTCTAATGTTTTCTGCTGTCAGGGGAGAAACTTCCACGTAGCTTTGAGGATTTTGGGCTTTCAAAAGAGGTGAAAATGATGTGCCTAAACACACTATGGAAGAGAATACCCATGGATACTCATCATGCTAACTGACAGCGAACCTTTAGCTGAGTATTTCATGTGTTTTTTTTATTCTGTGACGAAACTAAAACGGCTGCTGTCTGGTCAGTGTGCTCCGTGCAAGCTGGTGTCTACTCGGCTCTCTGTAGCATCACTTAACAGATGCGTGTTGACTGCGTGTTGCTGCAGTTCAACCAGACCAACAGAGTGGTGGTGAAATGAGTTTAGTTCTTTGTGTCACATTCATGTCAGGAGAATCCTTCAGTTCAACTTTTATGCATGTCCATATTTTCATCTCAGCAGTGTAGCAAGTGTGTAAAATGTTGAGTTATTTCAATGTGGCCAATACATTTAATCAGCATGTCATATCTTACATGTGTAGCCACAATTTGAACATTAATCAGGCTGACTCCCCGTCACAAACATGCTAGATATAATGCTATTTGCAGCTTTTTATTGAATTTGTCACAGGACAATCGTTGGACACAAGGTGCAATAGACAAGGATTCTTACACATATGAACAGTATTTAACACAAAATATACATATTATCATTGTTTTGTAAAAAAAAAAAAGGCAAAATTAATGTAAAAATGTCCTTAAATTACCTTACATTACCTTAAATTACCTTGAATTACATTAAATTACATTAAATTATTGTGTGCATTTCTCCAAGGAATGGGTGTTTTGATACTTAGTATTTATTTAGACACTTAGACCTGCTTCAAAAAACACATTTTTTTAACTTGTGTAATAGTATCCTAATGTATAATATATGTTAACCAGATCCATACACATGTTTCTAACACCTGACCCCAAATTTGAAACCCAATCCTGACTTGAACCAATGTTATATTTCGGTTATCCCTCTGAAGTTTCATGTTCAAGCGTTTTCTAACCAAAACTGAATCTGAACCAAGCCCAAATTTATTTTAACAAAACGGTCCAAAACTGACCCAACCCCGGGTTTTGTCGGGACTCGTTGGGTTCGGGTTTGGTGGCAGGAAGCTATTGTGTAGCAGAAGTTGCTGCTCTGCACACAGACGGGTTACAGTGAATTCAGATTGTGAATGTCAGAACAGCCGCCCTTATTGCACGCAACGCCTGCAAACACGTTGGCGTGTTTCAACGTGGTCTTTGTACATAACAATTACAACACATTTCTTTTCGACCCTTTGCGCTCATGATTGGTGAGATTCAAATAAATGCAATAGAAATGACATTGTCAAAATAGGAAGTTCATCCAATAGGCTTTTCAATGACTTCTTCCTTACCTAGATTGTTTTGGGAAATCCTCAGCAGATTGTGATGTTAGGTAATCTCCTCCTCCTCCTCCTTGCTTTTTAGATCGCTGTGACGTTTACCATAGTCTTCGGGGTCATCCTCTACCGGATTAGCATCAAGGCAGCGCTACACATGAGCACCTACCCTGCAGCGGGGTACAACGTCAGAGCTACCGTCAAGACCACCGCCGCCATCATCAACCTCATTGTCATCATCATCATGGATGAAGTCTACGCCGCCGTCGCCCGCTGGCTCAACACAATGGGTGAGGCACATTTTCACCGTTAACCCCTAAAAGGCACGAATGATCCTCAAACCAAGCATTCGTTTCTGATTACACATAGACTGAGATATTCTTACAACAAGCAAAAGTGTTTGTGGGAATTGTTTTTTTTAAATTACAAAAATGTTTTGCTTATTGTCGCGTCACTGGGATATTTGAGCTTCACTGTGCAGATTGATGTATATGCAGAGTTTTCACATTTATTCGCCGAAGGGGGAACGTTTCTCTGAGCTCACCTTAAGTCTCAGTCCAACTCGTGTATGTACGAGCAGGATTTTGAGACGTTTTGTGAGTTTGGACACCAATCACAGTTCAGTATGAAACCTAGAAGAGTGTTTGTGAAACAAACACTGAAAACGGACTTTTTGTACATGTTCTTATTCCCAACTTTTTAAATAACGACTCTTGGACAGTGGCCCCCGATGCACCGAGGCATCTGGGATGCACAGGGGCTTTTTCCACAAACTCCAATGTAAAATCACAAGTCAGTATTAGACAGTCAGACCAACTAATACCATAATGAAGGGAATTACAAGCAGACATCTTGAAAAGTAAACACCATCAATGACGCGGTTTATTGAGAGTTGTAACAGTGTCTTATAACAGTGGGGGAGCTGTCAGGGCCAGCAAAGCCTTCTCTGCTGGCCTAAACAGAATCACAAAGTTATAGCTATTTTATAATTTAATAATGTTTCATAAATACACTACATGTATTCTAATTATTTTTCCCATTAGCTTATTTTCTCATTGCACAGCTACTGTCTTCCTTTGTTGCTCTCAGCACTGAAGGCCCAGGTATAAATCACACGGCCCGCTACTGTCTTATAATAATACCTAATGCCACTGGATGTATTCATGTGTATATGAGATGTTTAAGCCACATGTCTCTTTTTCAGAGGTTCCAAAGACGGACAAGAGCTATGAAGAGCGCCTCATCTTCAAAACCTTTATCCTGAAGTTTTGCAATGCATTCACACCCATCGTCTATTTGGCCTTTTTCAGGGGCAGGTAAAACCATTACTTCTCAATGCTCGTGTTTTGTGCATTTTTGTGTTAAATCATTTTATCAAAAATACTAGTGTATGCTAGCAGCTTTCCTTATCTCATGTGTGTGGCTGTGTTTGGTTCACAGGCTTGTTGGGCGGCCCGGGAACTACCTGTATGTCGTTGGATCGTACAGAATGGAAGAGGTAATTGACACTGAACACAGTGTGACTTAAAGGTCACGGCTATTCCCTGGTTTTATATGTCAACAAAGCCCATGAAATGACTAAGAAGAACTGCGATGAACTTTATTATTTTAAACAGACATTACTCAAATGGGAGGAAATAGTGTATTCAATGAGGACTACTTTCAGCAGTGGATTAATCCACATTTGTGAGTATTTGTGGCAGCAGGCCGGTGTTTGTGGAATTGAGTCAAAATAAACTACAGTGTGTGTGTGTTCATGGTAATGAAGGAGCAGCTCACTGATGTGTTTTTAATAGTTTTTGGACAACAATGGAGCTCTATGGCTCAGAGGGAGAAGACCTATCAGGCTTTGATACACACACAATACGTGTTAGTGAATACATTCATGTTTGGTTTGGGTCTGCAGCATAAAAGATTAGTTGAGGATAGGAAAAAAAAAGAATATTACCAGATCCGTCCTTCAAAGCTTTGATGTGTTTTTTTCCTCACATGACGGTAAACATGTCGCTCTCTCACCCACGCAGATCTTTCAGTGGTCGAGCTGATCAGGGATCAGATGTATGGGTAGAAGTAACTGGAGCGTTTTTCCTCGTAGCTTTAACGAGACAGAGAGCAAACGGGCCGTTTCAGTGGAACTCTGACCGCCGTTATCACGAGGACAGAAGAGATAGGCCGTGGATGTATTAAGAACATCAGACAGTGAGTGGATAACCGCCTCCAGAGGCAGCTTGGACAATCAGATTTCCATCTGCCTTGAATGCTTCTTGTATGCATTTACACTTAGCTTTTAAGAGATCAGATAGCCGTCTGACCCGCCCGGGACGCATGAAGCCACTCGATGTACACAGACTATATGTCGGTTGAGTTTTAACGCAAGCGGAGCTGGTATTGCTTTCGATTTGTGAGTCTGCGTGTGTGTCATGTTGGCAAATGTGGTACTGGAGCAACTACCACAGAGGCTGTTTTGAGTACGTTGGTGTTTATATGTCTGTGGACAGTTTTTGTAACCGCAATAGCAACAGAACCGTGCAAGGTGCAGGCAAGAAACTTTAGAGATGTGGAGATCAAAATGAAGAAGATTGATGTGGTCCGAGCAAGAGAGCCGGAAGTAGGCGGTCTTTTTTAATGAATTTCTAATTTTGAGAGCACATGCAGTAAGGTGCTTTTAAATATTTTTATTTCAATTTTTGCCGTGGTCAGTTGCTCTTGCTTGCTTAATTTTTCACTCCCCATTGTCAATTTCTTGACATTTCTCCAACTGCGCTCGACCGCCTCACGTTTGACTTCACTTTCCGACACCTGTTCACTTCCTCTCCCTCCAGTGTGCCCATGCAGGCTGCCTCATGGAGCTGTGCATCCAGTTGTGCATCACTATGCTGGGCAAGCAGCTCATCCAGAACAACCTGTTTGAGGTTGGCATACCGTAAGTGCAGAGCGCACACGCAACATGCTCCAACGTACACACTCCCATGGGGCTAACACACAGAACAGTACGTGGGTTCGGCATGCCACAGAACAAATTATGCACACCCACTCAGTTGTACTTGCAACGGCCATGATTCATTGAAACCCCTGTCTGGTATTCAGACACACTTACCTGGGAATTAGACAACACCTTGCCGCAGTCTGTCAACCTGCAAGTTTCTCTGTCTTGCTTTGTTCATACAGTACACTGTAATGGAAGTTTCTAAGTGTAATGTACTGTATGTTTGGTTCCAACTCTTTATCACATAAAACACCAAAAGCACAGTTCTAGACTGTGACACAGATCAAAAAATGACAGATATCCAAATGAGTGTAGCCCCAATTAACCACCAATAATCCAGTTAGCCTGTTTCACTATGAAGAATATCAGACATACCACAAGTACTACAAATTGATTTCATAACAAATGTTGTAAAAATGAATTATACTGTATTGAGTTTTACAAAGAGGTGTGTCTATTATTTTGTCTACCCCATTCCTATCAATCAGGGGGGGGGGTGAATAACAGAAACACCTCTCTGAGTCTAAATGTGTCATTTCCATGATTGGCTTGTGGTCCATGCAGGAAGCTGAAGAAACTGTTCCGGAAGAGGAAGTCGGACTTGGAGGAGGAGGTGAACAAAACGCTGCAGCGCCACGAGAAAGACCACATGCTGGGCCCTTTCGTTGGCCTCAGCCCAGAGTACATGGAGATGAGTGAGTCCGAAAACGAGACACAAATCCACAAATATACAAGACGTGCTGCTCTTTTGTGATTTGTTTGGTCTGCACAGGTTTGAACGTAATTTTGATTTTCGGCTTTACACTCGTAGAAATAAAGGTGCTAAAACATATAGGAACCGTATAGAAACTTATGGGGTTCTTTGGCTTGTCTTCAGAGGAGGTTTTGGTTCCTGGTAGAACCTTTTATCAAGGTTCCACCATATGAGAGGTTCGACAGAGAACTCTTCTATTGTGTAAAGGTTCCACCCAGGACCATCTCTAGAGGCTCTATCCAGAACTTTTCGAACTTCTAAGGTTGCTAATAAGAAACCAACCCTCAGTTCTACCAAGAACCCTTTTGTATTACTAAGGTTTCGTCTAGAACCCACCCAAGGAGGTCTACCGAGAACCCTTTTACATTCCGAGGGTTTCATATAGAACCCACCATGGGGGTTCTACCGAGAGCCCACTTATATTCCATTGGTTTCATTTGGGGTCGGAATTTCAGGGGACTACCAGAAACTTCCACACCTTAACCCTGGTTTTACCTGAACATTTGTAAAAGCTACGACTGTCTTCAGGAGAGGTTTGTAGTAACGCATTTTCCAGCTTGCCCGACGTCTGCTAACAGCGAATCATCCTCATCTCTTCTGTCAGAGTGCTGTCTTCTACCCTGACTCAAAGTAGATCCATGAGAAATGCCTGAGGGAATATCAGCCTTTATAACACCCTGTCCCTTGCGGAGCACGTAATTCTGAGGTCAAACCTAACAAGCATAATGGCTGCTAGCACTTCGAACAATCACTTTAATGTCACCTTCTATGTACCAAGTTACATCAAACACATTCAGTCACTCCTCTGCCTTCTGCTCCTGCTTCACGTCTGTCCATGTTGAGGTACACTGCGGTTGACCTTTGATTTAATGACAGCACACAGTCTGTCATTCAGTGATGTGGAAACCTTGGATAGGTCATGCTTCATGTGCACCAGAGATTTCTGTCCGTGCCTGTGGCAGTGTGCATTTAATGAAGATAAGTAGATTAAAGCTTTTCATTTGGCTGGTCAGCGCTCATGGCTGTTGCGGTCGTGTAATTGCTCTTTTTGGATCTATATTGTTAAGCAGTGCATCCCTTGAGGGAAGCAGATGATAGAGGCTTAAGGAAGCTTGTAAAAATACGACTGAAAGAGATGATTAAATCTACTTCAAACTTCAAGCTCAGCACTCTCCGTTCTTCATGTCCTAGTTCAATATTTATCGTTTGAAAGGAAAGTGCAACATTCCATGTTTAGCTGTGACCAGCAGAGCGTAACATGTCTCTCTGATGGTCGGCCAGTGTAAATCCAACTGCTGCATCTCACACATTGGTTTTCACTGCAAGTTTTAGTGCACACGATCTAGACATTTCAGCGTGCGTTTCGCAATACGTGTAGTGTGTGTAAGGACGAACAGCCACACAACTGAATGACGGGTCCAACAATGGCACCACCCTGCCTCCACCCTCTTCTCTAAACAGAGCTACAGGACGGAACATATCGCTTGTCAAACGGCTCGGATAGATGGTAGGAATTGTCACAGTCAGGTGTAACAAACTATTTGGTGCCTGTGTGATATGTAGTGTATTAGTATATTGGTCATTTCACCTTTTAAACTAATGAGTTTTGGTTGACTTACTTTTGTATTATTTCAGCCAGTGCACTGATCAATATTTTGACATTACCAATGGATGTGTAATTAGAAAGAAGTCGGTCATAGTGAAGAACCTACAGATGACTAAAACAGTTCACTGAGCTTGCTTTGCTTGCTGACATGTCAGCCATAACAGCTTTAAAGAGTGATAAAATGTCAGATGTTATATTTTTTTGTGTGTTCTGCTGCTCCCAAGTGACCAAAGAGTAATGAACACAGCTTTAATTTAACCGATATTTCCACCTCTACTGCAGCTCCCAGAGCTCCAACTCTGACAAATCTCATCAGTCGAGCTCTACAGCAGCTACTCCGTCCGTATTTTTCCGACAGAAAAGCTTAAACGGATAGTTAAAGGAGCATTCAAGCAGTTTTTGGGCACCACACATTTTACCCAAACTTGGTGGGTGGTAGTGCCCACAGTCAGTTTCCCTTTTTGAAGAAAAATTACAATGTGTCCATCCAGTAACTTCTGCTAATTTCTCCTCTTGTCTGTGTCTCCAGTCATCCAGTTCGGGATGGTGACTCTTTTCGTGGCGTCCTTCCCTCTGGCTCCGCTCTTCGCTCTTCTGAATAACATCATCGAGATTCGCCTGGACGCCAAGAAGTTTGTCATGGAGCTGCGCAGGCCGATTGCAGGGCAAGCCAAAGACATTGGTGGGTGTCCACCAACCCAGACTGAAATTAAATGTTTATTCTGCTAGATGTTTTCAGCTACACCGCCTTCTTAAGGGTAAAAAAAATCCAAGAGAAGACCTTGGTCAAGAAGGAGAGCAGATATGCAATTAATTTTGATAAACTTCACCTCACTCTGTGTGGGCTCTCAGCAGTAGAAATGAAACTACCTCAGACAGGTTTCAACGTGCATACGGGCATGTGAATATTGCTTTAAGACAGACTTGAAAAAGTGTTTAACTCAGTGGTTCTCTACTGGTCTGGCTGCGGGACCCACCATCACCCCTTAATGACAAGCCATGACCCAAATTTTCAACTTTCAAATTAATTTAATTAAAAGATGGTGCAGTTTGAACCTGAGCTGAAAATGTCCTCTGCAGTCGTAGTATAGGGAGCTCTCTTGTGCTTCTTTGGCAGCTTCTTACTTTCTTGTGCCGGAAGCTCGCTGCACAAAACACACTGAGGTTTTTGCCCTCTTTTGTCCTCAATGTAAGAAAATCCATATCTCGGTGTTGTACTTGCGTTTCGCCATGCTCAATTAGCACATGAAAATTAACTTTGTGGGTGTTCTTCTATACTGTGAAATGGTGGGTGTCTATTAGCATTGCAAGGCATTACCGCCAAATACTGCTAAGGAGTGCTGCAGTGCTGGAGTTTCAGTCCACGTCAACAGTAATATCATAGAGCAGTTCATAGTTAATGCACCCTAAAAGTAAACGGTAACATTCCTGCAACACAATGCACAGTGAAGTCTTACCACCTCTGTGCTTGTGCCATCTAGTGGTGGCTGGCACTCACTGACCAATACGGACGTGTTGAAGCTGACAGTTCCTTCCTTCTTTCTGCAGGCATCTGGTACAACCTCCTGAGAGGCCTCAGTAAGGTAGCAGTCATCGTCAATGTAAGTCTCGCGTCTGTACGCTCACGTTAACCCGGTGTTTAGATGTCATGATGGCAGTAAGCTGAAGAGCCGTTCTCCATCCCCCAGGCCTTTGTCATCTCCTTCACCTCGGACTTCATCCCACGGCTGGTCTACCAGTACATGTACAGCCTGGATGGCACCATGCACGGCTTCATCAACCACACGCTGTCTTACTTCCAAGTCAGTGACTTCCAGCCGGGGACAGACCCTCTCCAGCCGATGCACCTGGGCTACAAGGTAGACATCTGCAGGTAAGGTTTCACTTTAAAAAAGAAAAATGTAATTAATGCATATTAATACAGTATGCATGTATATAAGATCTCACCCCAATTAGAACTTATTTCATCATATAAAATATAAACATTTTAAGTAGATATATAACTAAACAAAAATAAGATTAAAGGCGAAACTTAACAGTCAACGATGAGACATAAAAAAAAAAATACATGAAACAAATACAATAAAAATACAGCAACAGGAATATAAATAAAACTTCCAAGTTGTAAATATTTGAAAATGATAAATTTAAAAATGTATCATTATCAAGCCCCAACCTCCCAAACAATTACTTATCATGTCTATTTTACCTTTTGTAATATTGATCATCTATAAGAAGCAATGGACATCTGACAACCTGTAAAGCATTAATGAAATCTTTTGAAACGTGTCTCTCTGTCTGCAGGTATAAGGACTACAGAGAACCTCCCTCGTCCAGCACACCGTATGAACTGTCTAAGGAGTTCTGGGCCATCCTGGCAGCCCGCCTCGCCTTCGTTGTTGTCTTTCAGGTTTGGAACCGCACACGGATATTAATATCAGAGTACACATGATGCACGCCTCGACATGCTTTCAGCGCACAGTGCTCACTTCTGCCATTCATATTTTACGTGGGCAAAGCAAACAAACCAGCAAACAAACCAGCAAACAACTCATTTATATTCGATGAATGAATGGCCTCTGAGTGAATCAGGAGGCTGTGTGGAGCTGCATGTGTCTGTCTGCTTCTCCTCCATTCATTTCCCTGGTGTGAGATTGATTTCACGTTATTCTCCAAACAAGACAACAAACTGTTCACCTTGAAATAAAACTTCCACCAGTCCTACCTGCTGTTTAACGCTGTTGCTTCAAAGATGGTGCTCAATCTAACCGGAGCCACATGGGTTCTTTAGTTCCTGGCGTACGTTTTTCACCATCTGCTCTCTCCTCTCCTGATTCTCTATTTTGTAGATTTGTTTTCTGAGCTCCTGTTATTCTCCTCACTGATTGTGTAAATCTTTTGTGTTTGGAAGCCCATTCCCACCAGGAAATACAATTGTTTGATTTTCATAATTAAATCCAATAATGTATCTCATGACCAATAGTAAAAAATGATGATATCATCATTAAAATTAGAGCTAGATTGATGAACCAGTGAATATGATAAAGTGTCACCTTCCTATAGTTTTGTCCAACACAAAGATTGTTACACTCCCGTGGGGTCCAGATGCATGCCACAACTTTAAAAAATATTTTAAAATGATGTAATTTGAAAGATTTGACTTTTTAGGTCAAAATGAGAATTTATAAACTTATAATAATGAAAGTATGGCATTTAAATCCATAATCATAAGACATTCTGACAGACTAAAGAATTACCGTCATAACTTTCATTGACTATGTCAGTTGGGAGTTAATCTGTTCATTTTCCCAACAGGAATTGGTCTGTATTACTTGTAAATATGACAAAACAAATCTCTAGTTAAAATGTAAATACTGTATATCTCTGTTTTCATTGATTCGTGACTTACAGTATGTATTTCTGAAGCTCGACTAACTCACTGGGATAGCTTTGGTTAAAAAGAAGGAAACAGCTAGGCTAGTTAATGTTATCAAGTCCAGTTATTTTGCCGCTAACCTAAAAATGTGTTAAAAATGTAATAAGAAATCACTTTTGTCTCTGAGAAGAAACAATGGCCGCAGATTGGCAAAGGTCATATAGTGCTACTAGACTGGAACACCTGTGATATCTGTTTCGACGAGACGTCCACATGTGAGCCGTTCCAATCTGCTCTTTGTCCCCTCTGTCCTGTGCAGAACGTGGTGATGCTGATGAGCGACTTTGTGGACTGGCTGATCCCTGACATCCCCAAAGACATCAGCCTCCAGATCCACAAGGAGAAGATCCTCATGGTGGAGCTCTTCATGAAGGAGGAGCAGGGCAAAAGGCTTGCGGCGCGCGACAACCTCAACCAGGACAACTACCCCTCCCCCTCGTCGGCCAATCGGAGCCCGTCGCAGCCCCGTTCGCGGCCCGCCACGCACGCCGTGGTCTGGGAGAGCAAAGAGGAAGAAGCGAACACAGCACCCGAGTACGAACCGTAAACTAGTTAATCCGCTGCTTAAAGCCCGGCTGTTAAAAGGTTAAGACGGCTATCCATAAACACGTGATCAGTTATTAATAATTGGCAAAGCTGACAGTAAAAACTGAAAAGATGACATGTTCACGTTAGAATTCCTTCGCATTAAAAACAGGTTGTTTGCTTCCTTTTAACATTTCTCCCAATGTTAAGTCAGACATCGTCAATTTAAAAATCCAACGACTATACTCAAAAGATTTATGATCATGACGCGTTGTTTATTATTGTACTGTATTTGAGGGGAACAAGCCAAACCCCACCTGCAAGCCAACATGAATAATATAATCCTGTTTTCAATCAGCAAGTTCATACCTGCCACCTCTCCCACGGGACCTGAATGCAGTTTTCGTATTGAAGTCAGCCTCCGTCCAAATGGTCCCGCTGAGAATAGTTTCCTCCTGATACCGTACTAGTGAGACACGACTCAAGAGGAGGACCTCTCTCCTGCCGTAAAACCCAGAAGCCTTTTTTTTTTTTTTTTTTGCACAATTATATATACGAACGCAGGTATTTAATGATGTACTTTTTTGAATATGCAACATGGTCGTCGGTTTGTTGGGATGAATGGCAAGGATCTGGAAGACCTGCTGTGTCGAGCGGCCTGTTGATTTGTACTATTGTCTTGTTCACGAGCACCACTTTGCTCGTTGTTACATTTGTTACATTTGTGAGTGTGAACACACTACCTAACCGTGCTCACTGGCATTTATTCCTGGAAGCACAAGTCACATTATTATTCATTCCAATTGAACTGGAATTATTGAAGCTGCAATTGGTGAGATTTACAGCACAAACACAAAGTAATGTCACGCTCAGTCTCACCTCCTTAAGTGTTTCTTAAAGCTGTACTAACCGATTTCTATTTATTTATTTTTTTTGCCACTCGGGGGCAGCAGAAGTTGAAAAACACAACACTTGCATATTTTCACCAAATGAAGTGACTACTTGCAAACAATTATTTACACATCCAACAAAGAGCAAAGTAAATGTTTCTGGCCACCCGATCCTGTCCTTATAGTTTAAGCAGCTGAAGATGTTTTTCTCTGGCTCTTTGATTGACTTGCATTAAGCTAAATAACTCCCTCTGTCTGCTCTTTAGTGCTGAGTAGATAGTGTACAGCAGGTTAAGAGAGAAAACATCTACCTGCGGCTGGAAACAACAATTCTCTGTTATGGTAATGTAGTCTATTTATATTTCTTTAACATTATTAGCTGCTATAATTAACAGGACTCCAAACTAATGCTAATGTCGCTTTGTGTCTGCTGGATGTGAGAATGCAACTGTTTGCTAACAAGTTCACCTCATCGACTTAAAGGGTAACTTTGGTATTTTTCAACCTGGACCCGATGTTCCCATGTTGTTGTGTCTAAGTGACTAATGAAGACAACCAAATGGGTCCAGTATTGAAGGAGAACTCTGCAGACGCTAAACGGGCTGCAACATAATCGCTCGGGGCAGCTCTGCAATGTCAATGTACGTTCACTAAAAGAGCTTGTTTTTGCCACTGATAGAATGCTCAGAATGTCTGATAACATTATGGACAGAACCCTACAGAGAAATAAAACATTTTCATTTTGGTCTGAACAAATTTGGCTCAAGGAGAAGTCTCGTTCTGCAATCTCGCGTCACGTCCACATTGTCGACATCAGCGAAACAATCAGCCGCCACATTGAAAATCTTTGAGCTAACACTTAGCTTTCTGTACTCATCGAACTCTCATTCACGTTTCCTCTAGTGAGATGTCAGAGCGAGACTTCTCGAGCGAGACGTGGTGAGACACGATAACAAACAGACCAAATGAAGCAAGTTAAAGAAAACTTAACTTTCTCTGTAGGATCCTTTCCATAATGTTGTCAGGTACTCATAATAACAATCTGGGCATGTCAGTGGCAAAAGCGAGCACTTACGTACAAGACGTACATTGCCGGTGTAGAGTTGCCCCGAGCTGCTGCCAGCGGCAGCGTTCTCCCTCAATACCGGACTAACTTCACAAACTGCTGTCCCCGTTCGTCACGTAGACACAAAAACATGGGACAGTAGGTTCAAAATACCAAAGTTACACTTTCAAAAGCTATGACATGTCAGTGTTGTGCTTTCATCTCGTGTCTGCAGCCCCCTAGTGGCCACAAAATCAGTCAATGCATGTTTAAGTAACTGCGATCAAAGTCCAGCATTTACTCTTTTTTGCCTCACTGCGTTTTGGATCATCTGTAAAGCGGAGCCGTTTACTGATGTCAACTCTCAGAGTTTCCTCGAACCAAATCAACGTCATTCTTGACAAAATTCTTTGTCGGACACTTTTTAACTACCGATGGGTAATGTTGGCTTTCGCAGCTTTGAAGAGCCCAGAAGATGACGAGTAAATGTTTTTCTTTTAATTTCATTAAAAAAAACACAAAAGCCATTCACACCTTCGCATATCGTCGAGATGCTCAGCTGTATTTATTAGAGGGTTTAGATTTGTTGTGCACTAAAAATAAATAATCTTAAAAGTGTAGCGGTACAAGTATGTGCATGCAGCGTGTGCCGTCAGGAAACTGCATCTTGGGACAAATGGGATTGAGGAATCTTGATCTTCTTACTTAAAGGGACTAATTTTCAACTAATTTTGTAGAGCAACTCTCTCACCCTGCCTTATATTCTCCTCTCTGGCTCGTTTGAGTTTTCCAAACGTCATACGAAGAGATACAAGTCAAACCAGGACAGGCAACACTGTTGCCATTCGCCATTTTCAAGCACAAAAGATTGAATAATATGTTGTTTTGTATTTATCAAGCTGCAAATACGTGGGAGTGACTGGATACTACTTTGAAGAACGTAATAGTGCTGCGGACTGAAAGATGGAGTCACATGCACAGTCTGCACGCATCAATGTGTCAAATCCTGCCTCCCCCGCTGTAAATACATGAATCTACCCCAGATTTAAGCGCTCAACCCAGACTGGTAGAATGTATTATTCTTATTATTTTTTTATTGCAGTGAAGTATAATCACTGTAAGGTCAAAAATGTTCGATATCTGTTTTTTCTAATTTCATGACAATGCATTTCTAAGTGCATTTAATGTGTTGAAAGGGTTTTTTCCGCCCGCAAGGTACCAGTGACTGATACTTTGTCCTAGTGTCTTCATTTTAATTCATTATTCTATGTTCTAGAAGACATCACTATGGACCTATTATGCTGTATCTGGAGGGAAGCCAGACCACAAAGACATTTTTATCACAAAAGGACAGTACTTCTTTCTGGGATGTGACTTGCTCTTTTGAGAAAAAAGACTTTTCCTTCGACTAAATCTTATACTCCGTGTGTACGTAGGGTTAGCGTTGATATTCAGTGATAGATAGACGAGTTGCCTTGGGGCCGCGGAGCCTGTGTCGGCTACAGCATTGTTTTTGTCCTCCGAATCTCTTGCAACCTGATGTCACATGATAAAACACTGCAAGTTGTGACATGCCTAATATCTATTAATAACATATGTCGAAGCACATTTCATGGGTGAGTGTTTATGCATGTATAACCGATTTGTCCGTGTCTGATATTTTGAGTCTTTTTTTTTGTTTTGTTTACGCTAGCTGCAAATAAATGAGAGAACTACCTGGAGTGCATCTATTTATTGGAAAGCCCTGCATTTCACTTTATTTTGGTACTTTGATTGATTGCTAATTTCTACCACAGAAGTACAATATCAACTAAGGTGGGTCTTCTATTGTATCAACCCTGTCTCCTACAACGATACGTTTCCAACTGAACTGCACTCTCAATAACGTTGCGAGAGAGTACTTTCAAACACCATATACTCCTTGCATGTAACCCCATAATGTTTAGAGACGCTTCAATTATAAAATTGCTTTTATGTGTGACTTAATCTAAAACTTAAAATGACCTGTCATTTATGAAAATATAACCATGCGTGCTTGTAATGCACGTAATATATCATATATGCTTGTAATGGTGACTATTATGCTAAAACTAATGAAGTAATTGAAGTTTGAGTTAAACTCAATCTGACATGATTGAACGACAGTCAGCAGGGGAGAAAGGTTGTAAATTCCCGAACTAACTCGTGTGTTAGTGAGGGAACGACCTGTTCAGAGAGAGCTGCACAGACACCTTCTACAAAGAGGGGGGCTAGCAGAAAAGCATTAAACTTAAAAAGTAGGTATGTCAGAAGGGATGAGACTATGAGAACTAATGATTAAAAAAATGATCTGTTGTATGACCTTATATGGACCCGGAGGTTGCAGAAAGCGCCAAGGAGAAGGGTACAAAAAGGAGGAGAAAAGAGAGGATTCCTCTTTTGGGCGAGCTTTGAGGGTTTGGAGATTTTGAGAACTGGGTACATTTGAGATCTTGTATGATCAATCATTTTCATTTTCATTTTTTTTTTATTATTCATTTGTGTAACCTTTTTTGAACTTCTTGTAAAAACCAAATAAAACTGGTTTGTATTTTGTGCATTCCAACCAAAGTCCATTGTTGCTCATCTCTGGTGGGGTCCTCGTAGTCTCCTCAAGGTAAGAGAGCTCTTCCCCTGGGGTAGGCTGACAGTAGTAAATCTATAAGACATGTGATTTGAATGACATTCCTGCTGGAAGCTATAAGGTTAAGATTGTGTTGTTGATCATTGCGGTGATTTACTAATTTGGTTGGCTCAGATTGATTTTGAAGCTCTGCTAATGTATCATATGTGATGTTGCAGTGTTGGTTGATAATGTTTAGGCATTAGCTGAAGTGTATTAGGAAACATTAGGGATTAGATTGGTATCTAAATTTAGGGGTGTTAGGGCCAGGGTCCTGAACCAAGCGAGGCTCCCAACCACACGGGAGTTCCTCCTCCAGCAGTGACTCTTTAGAGCGGGCTCACCCTGGAGTACATCCAGTCCTCCCACACCTATTGCATACACACACCTAAATCCGTTGATATTCGGCAGTCGGGGAGTCCAACGTTTTTAGCATGAAATAAGAGATATGACGGTGGCTAGTGTTATTAAATTATCCTGGCTTTCGCCTCCCTAAGCAGACTACGACGGTCTCGCGTGTATATTTTGGGGGGTGCATTCGTTATCTAGGTCAGAGGCTATTGAGCAAGCCGTCTCCCAGCGCTTCGAGAGCAACGGGAGGGGGTATTGGTTATGCAGCTAGGCTGTACACTTTTTCAGTTCCCCCTCAGATAAACAGTGTTAGCTCTGTCAGCACTGTTGCCGTAGATTGCACTGTTAGCGCACAGCTGTCGCCATGTTGAGAGCAGTGTGAAGGAAATAGACACGCTCTGAATATCAAATTGAGCAATTTTGAAGTTGTAAATTGAAACAAAATACAGAATCAACAAAACAATGGCTTGGTAAAAGATCAACATTTTACCCAGTGAGCATTTTTCCGTTGAAAAAACGTATAAAAAAAGACTATGGTCACCCTTGAAAAGACATCCAAAACTGGTTCAAAAGTGAACGGACGGACTATTTGAAGACGTTGATTAAACGTTATTAAAACATATTACACCGGGATTTGCCATAGTGACATTTTTCCATCCTCTACATTGTGCTAATAATAGCATATCGTTATTTTAGAGCCTATCTGAGAAACCACATCCAAATATTTCCACAAACAAAAAACAAATATGTGTTTATGCAATACATGTCGTGCCTACATTGATGGAATTGTCATATGCATCACAACCAGTTAGTTCTTATACAGTGAAAGACAATTAACTTGAAAAAAGCCAACACAACAGGCTATATATATATATATATATATATATAATATATTTCCTGCACCTGACATTATATACGTCATACGTCGCCCAGGTATGACAGAGCAGGTAAGAACCAAGAAGTCTCCAGTTAATACCCGCACGCACACGCACGCGCGCACACACACACTCACACACATACACACACCTATTTTAAACTGCAGACTAACAGACGGAACAAGCGGAAGTGAAAGTAAAAGTGAGGCGTTTCCTGGTTCAGACGGACAGCGTCTTCTCGGCGGAGGGTTCGACCTGTGTCTGAGGCGACATGAGCTCTTTACAGTTCAACAGCTTGTTGCTGGAAATTTCGAACCAGCTGAACCAGGAACAGCTGGATAGCATGAAGTTTCTGTGCAAAGACTTCGGGAAAGGAGTGCTGGAGAAGATCAAGAACGGGACACAACTGTTTCAGCTCCTGACGGAGAAAGACATGCTGGCAGCCGACAAGACGGAGTACCTGTCCCAGTTGCTCAAATGCATTAAACGAAACGACCTCTCGGACAAGTTGAACAGCTGGACGGAAAGTCGGTCTGGAGACAGCGAGGACCAGCCGGACGCGGCGGAGAGAGGTAGGCTGGAGTTAGTAGAGCCGCAGAAGGCGGTGTTCTCACCCGCTAACGTTACTGCTGAGTAGGAGGCTCCCACCAGTACTACCATTACTAGCTCAAAACTACTATCTAACTAATGCAGGCTAATACAGCAGTACTGTCATCGCATTTATTTTTATTGTGGAGACTGTACCATGGCATTCAGTGCTGTTGAACTTAATTGCGCTATCCTGTCAACAGCAGCGCAAACTACAACCGCTAAACAGAATGAAACCGTTTGCACACAGAGTGAACATGAAGGGAGGGTTCATTGCAGTGACTGTTGTGATAGGCTGCAGTGTGAGCTTTAGGGGGACATACTGTAGTACACTGGCAACTGTAATAGTGTAGCTGACCTCTAAACAATTTATAATACTATAGGATCATTATCATCATCATAATGTACTTGACAAAAAACTTCCCATTAAGTTGGGGGGGGACTTCCACACACAGCAGAGGTGAAGTTACTTTTACTCTCTAGTATGGCTCAAGCTCCCAAAAAACACTGGATCCTACGTTTCCCACAATGCAACTTCATTGTTTCACTTTGTTCGACCTGGTCTTTTCCGAACCACTTTTCCTTGATCTCGATGGAAAACCTCATGAGGTCAAGGCCAGATGTGAAGGGGTATTCATAAAGATAGATGTTTTAAATTAATGTTGGGGTGGTTTTTTGTTAATTATTTTGCAAATCGATATGCTTTTTCTAACTGTTGTTTTTGTCACGCTCACTTTCAAACAGGCCGCGAATAAAATATGTTTTTTTTTTAAAAGAGTGTCTTAACGTTTTTCCGAAACGAGTGCGATTTTTTATTTTCATCATCTCGCAACGTGCATAAAGCCATCAACCAATCAGAACGGGGTGAGTTAGGCCTGTGTTTAAGAGACAACAACATGGAGGCTCTGTATTCTGAACAAGGACGACTAACTTGATTACTGCTTTCAACCTTTGCAAAGGCAGCGCAGTCCGGATCCACTCCTTTACTTCTTAACTTTCACAATAAAAGCCCTGAGACGTGTAACATTAGCGCGCGCAATTTGAATGTTTTTACAGGCTGAGTTGTACACCTCATGACTAGTAAATTAACTTTGACGAGTAAAATGGCATTATTGCCGCCTTCTAAGCTCAGGGATCTCCAGAGTGCATTAAGCAAATGTGTAACCCCTCAAACCTCATCCATCAGTTCTTTTCTTAAACTTTCAGTCACACTTTGCTCTGACAGATGTCTTTTTAAATACCTTGATACCACTTTACAGTCTTTGTAACCTTGTGGTTGATGTCTTAATCTATTATAGTTTGATATGACACATGACTGTGAGAGTCATGATAGACTAGTCCGGTTAAACTTAGCCTATAGTTAACATTGCCAGGCATTAAGGGAAAACCAGCGTCTCTGAACTTGCCGTGGCATGTACACACTTAGAGAGGACCTGGCAGTGCTAATGCCTCCACCCTCAATATGGCTGGTATTTTTCCATGTCCTGACCTGTTGTGTGGCTGGAACAGAGTCATTTCAAGTGGGAACACTTCAAGCAGCAACAGTATGTGAATCGTAGACTGTACCATGTTAGTAGACTTTGCAAATGTAGTTAAATATTTTGACCAACTTCAGTCCCAACACCCAAGCCAAGATCCCTGGTCTTGCTTGCCACCTGCATTAATTAATTGTTGTATTAATTCAAAATGAACCTCAGACATAATTACATTGCTTCTAATGCCACGTGTCCAGAGGGGAAGTTGCATTTTATATTTTGCATAAAGATGCTTTGTTTCCCAAAATTTAGATTTGTTTCCTTTTTTTTCTTCTTCTCTAAACCGTCTCCTCTGCTTCCTCATCAGCCAAACTGAACGTCGCCACCGATGTGATCGCCGAGAACCTGGGAAAGAACTGGCGCAAGCTGGGCCGCAAGCTGGGTTTGACCGACGTCAAGCTGGAGTCCGTCTCCAGGAGGCACACGGATCTGGAGGAGACGGCCAGGGAGCTGCTGAAGGAGTGGAGGAGGAGTCGGAGAGCCGAGGCCCGAGTGTCGGACTTGGTGGCAGCCCTGAGAGCCTGCCAGCTCAACCTGACTGCCGAGAAAGTGGAGGACAGTCTTCTAACCCCCTGATGTTGACGGGAGCTTTTTACAGATGAGACTGACATGAATTCTGGGAGTGAAATGAGAGCTGTGATTAAGCTTCGAGGAAAAATTAAATAAAAATCACCTGATCAATAAATCGACTTCCTGAATGTCACAAAACATGCTAATGGATTTATGTTTCATATTTTGATCCGAGGATGAAAACAGAGAGCTGAAATGATGAACCTAATGTGTTAATTGTGATGTGTCACCAAATGATCATTCCACATGGAGACTTCTGCAGGTGGTGGTGGGTTAGGGCTTGGCAGCACAGTTGGTATAAATTACAGTCTTTGGATGTTTTTTCCTGCTGATACCAGAATAAAGTGCGTTGCAGTAGTCGAGTCTGGAGGAGATAAATACACAGGTTACCTGGTCCTGGTCAAAATGTCAAAGTTAGAGAAAGCAGGAGGGCTCATTATAATCGACTATTATAAATTCATATTCCAAAGGACTTAAGGGCATTTTTATACATCAGTATGTATCAACTATTCTCAGTAGAGAGTGACAACAGGGTTCAAATTCAAAAGAAATCAAATGTGTGGAGACTTTTGTTTTCTAAAATCTTGGTTGCCAATGGCAGCATAGAGATCAATCTAATGTCATGTTGTGAGATTAAAGCCATAGACTGTGTAAAAGAAGTGGAAGTAGTCATCGTGACGTCACCCATTGGTTTGTGGACCGCCGTTATGAAGCCTCGAGTTTGGCGGTTTGCGTGGTCGCCATCTTGGATCACGACCGTCTCCATCTTGACTTTTTTGCAACGGATGAACGCAAGCTACCATATTTAGAATGGGGACGAGTGACGTAGAGTCACCGTATACGTCTCTGGTAGCGGCAGCGATCTGTCAATCACAGTAAGCCCGCCCTAAAGCATACTCTGATTTATGGTCTCTTTGACTCTAAATGGACCATAATTTACTAAATGAACATGCTGTATTGAAGAAGACTTGAAAATATGATTGAGACCATAAACTCATGTTTACAATGTTTACTGAGGTAATACATCAAGAGAGATGTAGAGTCATTTTCTCATAGACTTCTATACAATCAGACTTCTTTTTGCAACCAGAGGAGTCGCCCCCTGATGGCCAGTAGAGAGAATGCAGGTTTTAAGACACTTCCGTATCGGCAGAACCGGAGGTTGACGCTGGAGGACAATACAGGGATACAGACATATAAAAGGGCTGTACTTGGGTAGTGCAATACCGCCTCTTAAAAACCTGGTGGGTTTTATTAGCATCCAGTCACTGGACATGTGAATACATATGATGAATTATTTAACTTTTGGGAAATCTACTTGTTCGCTTTCTGGCAGAGAGTCACTTTTGTTCAACTGATCAAATAAACAAGACACGTGTTCATTAGTGGGCTTTAAAGGTGCTGGTAGGTAGAACCAGGTCAGCTCTTTGTGCTAAGCTAAGCTAATCAGCTGCTGGCCAGCGCTTCGTATTTTACAGACGTGAGCTCATGTTCTGCCCGAAAATGAATATTAGCATATTTTCCAAACTGCCAAAATATTTGTTTCAAGATTATGTTTTCTGACTCAAAATAAAAATCAAAAGAACAGGAATGAATTGTAATAGTACAAGCTGGAGTAGCTTTATTTTCTGATTAGAAGACATCAAACTGTTGACATTGATTGCTTTATGTCATATGAGAATAAAAATGAGAGTGTGTTTGAAGTGATGTGTCTCATTAACGTCCCCTGAATCTACAAAGTGCCCATGTTCTTTTCCATTCCATTACTAAACAGTCAAGGAAGCGACCAGCGTTTGATGCTTATGAAGCCTGCACGTTTATTGTTACAGGACAACCCAAACTACCATCCACTCGAAACCCTCATCCGTTTCCGTGATGTCGTCAGGAAGGCGGGGCAAAGGTCACGTGCAGTTTCTGCAGAATAAAAAGGCGTGTCATTAAGGGGGACCCTGAAGTGGGATTGATAGTTGCTTGGTGTGTGAATATTCCAAAAATGTCTACTTGAACATAAAGGATAGATTCACATTTAGTCTGTCTCAGAACAATACTCATATGCCTTCTTTTGTTTTGTAAATACTGCAGCTGCCCTTACAAAGTTTGTACTGTTGCATGCAATATCTATTCAGTTGGCACATACTACTATGTCATAACATTGCACTTTGAACTTTGACCCTCTTGCTCCTATATTTGCTGCGCAAAGGATTGTGGGTCAGAATAGCCAGAAAAGCATGCTGGCTTGCAGCGTTCAACAAAATGTGACCAGATGTATTCGGACATCCTGGAATTTTTCAGCATACTGTATTTGACATATTATAAATACTATAACCTTTTCTGACGTCCTAAATAGTATGGTAGTGTAGGTACTTTTGTGTGTGTTTTTTGAAAGATTATTTTTTGGCATTTCTACTTTATTAGACAGGGGGATGACATGCAGCAGAGGTCCCATGATGGCCGGACTCAAACCTGGGCTGCTGCAGCAAGGACTCAAAAAAAAAAAAAAAGAGCACCAGCTGCATTTGGTGGGGCGGCAAAGCTTAGAACGTTTTCTAGCATGCAGTGCAGTCCTTATGGCACTACATCGCTTCTTCAAATTGTAATGCCCCACCCCTTCTTTATCTACCAAAGGGACATCCCAGAGGGCAAAGTCCTCTTTCTGTTGTTAGGGTTAAATTGACTTGACTTTTAATGTGACCATGTGTTTTTGTACATTTGCCGCAGTATACTTACAGCACTTGTACAGCCTGTTCAGCCTATCGATGTCATTCCTGCTCATCTGGGTGGCCTGGCCGAAGGCCACGTTGCTGTTGGGAATGGGCACCATGGTGGGACGGTTGTTCTTGGAGAAGGCATACCTGGAGAGTCACAGATATCACAATGCAGAGCGGGTTAGGAGTGGGTTTGATGGAAACTATCCCTGATACAACTGGGGATTTTACGTCTTTGATGTGTCATGTGGTCATGTTTAAAAGCAGATCCACTTTGGTTGTGCTACTTCCCCAAAGTCCCTGATAAACTGATAAACAATCTCTTATTCAGGGCCTTAAAGCCAACCAGTAGCTGTAGCTCATATAGGAGCACATGCTGATTATGTGATAATAATGACACAGTGATATGAACTACCTCTAGAGTCTAGACAGTTACAAGAACAATGGAAATGTTTGAAGTTAAGTAAATGACACAAACATGAAGTCATCCATACCTCTCATATTGCATGACAGAGCCGTAGTCATAAGGAGTTCCCTGGTTCAGGGTGGCGATCTTCTCGAAGTTGTAATCCATGCCTGCGGGGATGAGAGTAAACATACATTTAAAATCACAGACATTTACCGTATTAAAGTTAAGTAAGAAGATCTGAATTTCAGTTGCGCAAACATGAGCTCAACTGGTGGAAGAAAAAAAAGAAGCAGCAGTTTTTCAGAGTGCCAAAAGTAAATTGTAATCAGCTCTCACTCTTACCAATACTGGTATGCTTTAAGTTGCAGTTCTACTTATGGCCACTAGATGGGGGCTCTTAAAAACACAGACTTTATGGAACGTCATACAAAATTCCCTTTTAAGAGTCGGTAAATGATGTGCACTTTATTACATCATCTATTGATCTTGGGTCCAGTCGGTGGTATTATTTTCCTTTTTTCAGATAAAATCCAGTAAATGTGTTTTAAATGCGCTGAGCTCGAGAGGCCGCTTTGTGGGGATAGCTTGATGCTTGCAATGTAATTTTCCTCGAGTGTGGAAATACACATGTTTAAAGCCTTTGGGCAATTAAAGCAGGTGCCACAAATTTGATGTGGAGTGGGGCAGAACGGCGGTTGCCCCGCTGCAATCTAATTGGCTATTTGCCAAGCACTGTTGTCGTCATTTGATGGTTAATCTAAGAGCAAAATAGGCTTTTTGCCCCTTTTATTCAGGTTTAACTCAAACAACGAGCTCGTCTCTGCCTCTAAGACTACTCGAAAGACTAAAAACAATACAAGTCACGAAGTAGACGGCGAAGCTGTCTCACCATCGATGATGTTCGCCCACTCCACTCTGATGTGGTTGTCCCTGTCGGAGCGGGTCTGTTCGTGGTTGAAGCCCAGAGCATGGAGCAGCTCGTGCTGTACGGTGCCGTGGTAGATGCATCCGCTACGGGCCAGAGACACAGTCTGAGCGTTGCCCTGACGGCCCACGTAGGAGTAGCAGCTGTCGACGCACAAACATACGGCAGTTTTTAGAAATCACACAGAATATCACCACGTATAATCCTTGTAGAACTAGAATAATAGATTGGTTGAAGGTGTCAATTGTTGGAGTGAGAGCAAAAGTTGAGTTGTAAAACTTCAGCCGGACCCTTACCCGTCCCTAGACTCGATGCTCAGCCACTCATTATCTCCGTTCTGGTAGGGTCTGAAGCGGATGCAGGACACCGAGGAGAAGGACTCCATTCCGCGAGTGATGATGGACAGCTCTCGGGAGGCTGGCAGGGCAAATATGTCAGGTCGAGAATATCTGAAGCAGCGGAGCTTTTCCTTTCCCTTAGTGATTTATGTTGTGTAATTAAACTGCACAATGCACCGACAGCCTCAGGTTGTCCCTTATTAAAGGACCTTATGGAGAAATAAAACATTTTTGGTCCCCAAAAGTCAACTCGTGGTTGTACAAAAACATAGGGGAAGTGACTGTAAGGTCAAAAATAATGAATGTAAATAAAAGAATCACTGCTCACAGTAGTGGTTGGCGATGAAGTAGGGGATGTAGACCTTTCCATCAGTCTGCTTTCTCCACAGGCAGCCTCTGGAGGTGCAGGGGTCAGCGTTTCTGTCGGCTTCAGACTTGATAGCGATGTCGCCACCGATCAGGATGGGCTCGTCCAAGTCAGGGGCTGCAGGACCAACACGGGTGGAAGGCGTGAGTCGGAAATACACCGCGGGTAAATTAACCTTTTGTTGTAACGTACAGATCGGTACTATTTTGGCACTGAGGTTTTACAGGCCGTTACATGCTGTGTGTGTGTGTGCGTGTGTAACATTTTAGACGTACGTTAAAGTGTGGTCTCGGTGGAGCATCTCATGCTTGCAAAACAAAATGTTGCATTCAGTGACAGCATTTTAGTTTTTGCAACATTTCCTATAACATGGCCTCTACAACAAAACAGTTAAGGTCAGGAAAAGCTCTACTCACTGCGGTCTCTATTGGCTCTCTCCAGCAGCTCACTAACAGAAAGCTCCCTGGATGTTTCCTCCTCAGCAACATCTGCACAACATGTGACACAGTATGAATTGCACAATCCTCATTTTGAATATAAGAGCTTAGTGAATTCAGAATGACTTTCACTTTCCCTGCAATTGCATATATATATTATTTAAAGCTGATAAAGAAGGGCTTTCATTTCATCCTTACCTTCCTGTACTCGTCCACAGCGACATGGAAAAAAAGAAGAGCCAAACGTTATGGAAGCTCGGAATACAAATCAGCTCTGTACTATCATGTACTGGATCCTCCAGCTGTGTAACATTTTGAAATACGAGGTGAATAATTATGTAGATAAATACAAGTGAAAATAATCATTTGTATGTATTATTGAAACTCAGCTTATTGTAATAAAATATGTAAAAAACAGCTTTTATTTATTATTTGTCACTTTTTATGTCATAATGGCATTTTATAGATATATGTGCAGAAATAAAAAATAATTATCATCCGAAATAAGATTTATAAACAACATTTCATAACATGGACTTGTTTAACAATGACTTCTTATTTATATATTGATGTTGAGGCTCCATATATTTTGGCCTATAGTAGCTGTTTGGACTTTTTGTTTTGTTCCCATTATGCATTTGGAAATTTCCACATATTTTTATACATTTCCTTTGTAGCTTTATACTTGAACTTCAATCAATTCCATTGTCAGACTTAAATCTGTGCAAGGTAAACTACAGCTTTTCATTTTGAAATAAAGGTCCTAATATCCATTTGGCCTCTCAATATTTTCTGTTTTTAGAGCAAATGAGACTGCATGTATAAATAAGTAAGTAATACGAATAAAATTTGATAAAATACAAAAAAAATGATAAATAAACTATTAAGGATAACTATATGTCTGTATGTTCTTGGCTCCAAGACATGTCTGTGTTTGTTTCCAATATCTACTTTTTTATTTGGGCTGGTTGTTTCTAGTAGTTGATAAAACATTAAATATTTAGCATGTCTCTCTATCTATTTCCCTCCTTCTGGATGATTTTTTCCCTAGGAATAGCTTCAGCCTGAAAACATTACATTCCAAATAAAATAAAGTGTTGGAATTTGTTTTTCGGGTGCCTTCATGTCATGTCGGGGAATATTTTACCTCGGCCCATGAAGAGGACACCAGCAGCAGGGTTACGAGAGACCAAGAGAAGACCAACATGGCTGCAACAGACCTATAACCAGAGAGCATGAAGACGATGAGGAAGGAGATGAAGTGAAAACAGAACTCACACTGAGGAAAAATTAAGTAGGGTTAAGTAAAATTAACAAAACAAATAGCATGTTGTCAAAAATATATAATCCATCTACCGGTAGGTTGTATTACTTATACACTATCACTGATGGGGTTCTTACCTGAAAGCCTTAACAGAGAATGACTGTCTGGCTGTTACCCAGTGACAGCTTTTATACAGTTCAGGTACTCCACGAGCTGATGACATATCAGAGTGTGCAAACGCAGTACACCTTTATCACTGTAAATGGAAAATTCGGAGTCTTTGCAACCCGTGTGAAGCACTGCGACTGTCCCAGGTGTCTCGATGGGTGGGTGCAGTACAGTACTGCCCTTGTTTAAAAAAAAATCTGTGCAGCAATAGAAATAGTTATACATATCCTAGGGTTCTTTATTTGTGTAAATGCTAAAACACAATTTCTGAAGAAGCAGAATTGCAAAATATCTTAAATCTCATTCAAAAGCAAATACTTCTTTTAAAGCAATATATAAACTCTTCTTAAAAATATATTTTCATATCACAACTTTACACACGAACACCAGATAAATAACTCTTCCCACATGCCGACTGCACACTGATGTAATAAAACACTATTTTCCTGAATAGTCTTACATTTTTACAATTGTGGGCTATTTCGCTTCCGTAACATGTCTTCTTTCAGACTAGTGGAAAGAGAACACCCAGAATGAATTTTTAGGTGTTTATTTTATTACTTGGTCAAACCTTTCTCCAAAATTCACCCAAAGTTACCATTAGCTAATGCATCATTTGCATAGTCAAACATTTCAGAGCATCTGTAATAGAAAAAATATTATCTCGTTAATGTAAGTACTCAACTGGGGAAGTTTCATGGCGACATCTACCATTAAAAATATTCACCTGTGGTCTCTCCCCTTAACTGAAGGTGACATCAACATATTACTGCATTGTACCGTAAACAAAATACGGTACATTGTATTTACAGTCCTCTGACTCCCTTTCGCCAAAACTGGTCTCCATTGTTGTGCACAACGAAGAGCAAACCTGAATCTTATTCACAGTGTTGAAGCTCTGATTTTTAAGAAATCGAATTGCTTACAGGTGTATTCACAGGTGCATTGTGGGTGCAGGCAATTGATAATTGAGTGTGGAATTTCAATGGCAGTGTTTAGCAACAGACAAACCGGATTTTAGTTTTGAATGTCTCTATGGTTCAGCCTGGTCAATAGATAGACTACATGAGTTAGTATAACAGCATTTGCCTGAAGGCGGGGTTTTGCTCCCGGACGTTGGGTGGTCAGGTCCGGCTCATGTCGTCATAGATCCACTTCCTCTCAAAGGTGTTGGATGGGGTCTAGATCAAGTCAAGTTCTTCCACACTTAACCATGTCACAATCAGGTTCCCTGATTGATTCTCTTCCTACAAAGAAATGCTCCACCTGCTTAATCTATAACTCCATTGATTCCCTTAAGCCCAATTTGACAGCCCCTCTCAAACTGATTTGGGAGCAGGAAAGTGATGTGACAACTTGACAACCGGGTAAGACTATATCCATATCGATCGAGTCCACTCTTCTTCTATGTGCGCTAGGCATGTTTTATTAGAGTCGATTCTACAAATGAGCGATTTTCAGAAATGTACCCGGATACCATTGATATTTGGTGCAAACTCATCTGCTCCGGTCCCATCCAACTTTAACAGATTTCTGGCGTCAAATATTAAACACACTTTTTTGGCAAGAGCCGTAACCTCCCGCGGCCGTATTTGGAGTCCCAACACCCCGCTGCAGCCAACTTTCCATTGATAAAAAACAGCCTTTGCAATTTTATTAGCTAGATGCCTCACTTTATCTGAGTGGAGGCACGCTTTTCACCTGGAAGTCCTTAATTGAATATCTGAATAAGGCTACCATCTGTCCGCATGGCGACTAGATGCCACTGTGTGTTATTGTTTATATGCCTTGTCGGTCAAATCAGAGTTCATTCAGTCATCTTAGATATGTCCTTTTTTATTGTTCACAATACTGATATAAAATGAATGACAAAGTTTCATGTTACCTGAAACTATAAAGGGCCCAGCCCACGAGAAACAGCCTTAGAGAGTGCACACAAACATGTGTCCACATGTTTTGGCCATACAGTGTACTTTGTTTTTTTTGCTGCTTCTGAGCTTGATTTCTTATTTTATCGACTGAGAACGAAATCTCACCTCAAGGTTCAATTTGTAGCTGTTCTGGAGCTTTTGATATGATCACATGGGCTTCGTCAACAGATGGAGTTCGTCCTAAATGAATCATGTGCATATTTAAAATGTAATCATATTACAATTGATTATTTTAATGGGCCTGGGGACATCTTGTATCTATAATCCTGCTATCGTCCTGATTCACGTATAACGTCCTCATCTGCATTTTCACTGTATCCTCACTGACTCTTACATGTTATGTTGGAGAGTCTGAGTTTGAAACATCTGTCACTCTGTCTGAGAGAAAAAAACACACACACCCTCCTCTGCTCTTATCAGTGTGGGACATTCAACACACTGCTGTCAATATAACCCCCCACCCACAGTGGAAACTGTTGAGACAAGGCCTGGCAGACACGTACTGTATGTAGCCAGTGGCACGGGTTATTCCATCCACAGCTAATACGCCCGATATATCAACATATATCTCAATATATTCACATTGTGCTTGTTGTGCTTTAAGATTCTAGAGGAATTACAAAAGCATTTGTAACTGCTAAAACACATTTTCTGAAATTTGGGCCCTCTTTGTAAAAACTGCACACAAAAACCAAAAACATACACACAAAATACGAAATGTCTGACATCTCTTGCAAAAGAAAACGCCTCATTCAAAACAAGACAAGACACACAAACTGGTACTTGTGGCACAAATATTGAAAGTTAATGGCCGAACCATAAGCACATTGTTGCTAAATTCTAAAACACACTTTTTTAGAATTCTAATTACATACGATTATCTTCATCAAATCATTACAAACTAAAATTCTGTGTGTTGTTTGCTAAACACTGCCATTGAAACACCACACTCAGTGACCAATCAACTGCGCCCAGAATGCACCTGGCGAAAACAGCACCTGGAACCAATTAGATCACTCAGAAATGAAAAAGAGAATGAGGGTAAGTAATTCTCTCCCTGCTCAACAGCATTTCAGTGCCCAGTTGTTTGGTATTTAATGGCCAGAAGTGGTTTCATTGTACATCACTGTACAGTGTGAGCTCACATTCACAATTCATAGAAGTCATAATTTCTTCACATCGATTCAAACAGTGAGTGAGGACCCAAAATGCATGCTGACAGGAGGTGGGTGATCCGGAGTAGATAAACTGTGGCGTTGATGGAAGGCAGCTGTGCGGACTGGACAGGTGATGTGAATGAGCCGTAATCAGGAGGGAGTCACGGACATGGAAACGCACACGGATACAGAGACAGACAGGGACACAGGGGAGGACAAGAGACACTGGGACTTGGGACCATAAGAGCCGTCCCTTCAGTAAGTGAAAGAAAGCAAAGAGAGAGCCGTGTTCCAGTCAAAGTATCTTTATAGTCGGATCATTGACTGTTGTGCAGATGAGTTCAGGTCTGCAGCTGCTGCTGTTCAGAGAGCACCAGGAGACAGTCGTCCCTCTGCTGCGTCCTGTCAGGACATCTGAGCGGGCTTCTTCTGCAACAGTGAACAGCACAGAGGTGGATCAGGTCAAAACTGAGTGATGGACACAGACTGCAGATAGTGTAACATGGATATTCACAGTGTGTTCATGTGGACACTCAGCAGCTGTAGAGCGTGTTGAGTCTGGCGATGTCGTTGCAGCTCATCTCCTTGGCGTTGCCGAAGGACACGTTGGAGTTGGGGATGGGGACCATGGTGGGCTGGTTGTTCTTGGAGAAGGCGGTCCTGCAAGAGGACACGGAGCAGTTAGAGGCAACCACAGCGCATCCTACGCACACACACATACACACATACAAACACACACACACACGTATGAAGACACGCAGCAGGGCCAAAGTGAAGCCACTTGTTCTCACTTGTGGTACTGCATGACAGAGCCGTAGTCGTAGGGAGTGCCCTGGTGGCGATCTTCCTGAAGTTGTGCTCCATTCCTGGACAAAAACAAGAGGAAGAATGATATTATAGTTAATATTATGTAACAGACTGTCTCATGTTTGTCGTTCTGGTGTTGAAAATGATATGTCCCTTGAGGGTTGCCGTAGCGAAGGGGCAACTCCCGCCTCTGGCCGAAGGGGGAAACAATAATAAAGAGAGTAGCTGTGGGCTGAATTCCCACAGGGAAGACTGTGGAGCTCAAGCAGGGGTTGCACATGGGTGAGTGTAGCGGACCCCAGCCGGACAATGGTGAAGCGTACTGATGTTTCAGAGGCCTTTATTCATGTTCAACCGTTGACTTTTACTTTGATGAACACAAATTTACTTTTCTCCTTTCTCCAGAAAACACCGTAAAGAGCTACGGAACAGATACAACATAAATGAGCTCTTACACGAGTTTAAAATTCAGAAAATAACATTTAAATATACATGGAAGCATATATTAATGTTTCAACCAGATGCCAATGCCAGCTAAAAACCCCAGCCTAGTCATTTAGCTATATCTGTTAAGCTAACATTAGCATCCAGTTGAAACACCAACACATCAAACACAATGAACACACAATACCTTGTTCCCGTTCCAGCTAGGTGCTTAACCGTTAGTTATTAAACTCTTATTGCGGAGTAATATATTTTATACTACCTTTCCTTTTAGTCTGTACCGTGAATTTCATACTTTTCTTGTGGCGAGGTCAAGCTAACATACTCTGACGAGATTTGGACCGGCTTCCGGTTTCGCCAAAAAGATTTCAAAATAAAGGACCCAAAACGTAAAACGGGACTTACAAAATAAAGGCTAGCAGGAAGTGATTAACTTAAGTAACTTCTAATTAAAAGGTTTGTAGGAAACATTCACAGAACCTCTTAAGAGTCATTTACAGTGAGTTCTACGATTAATATCCCACCGCTGCCACCAATGTGACCGAGTGTCTTGGGTTCGTGTATGAGGGCACTTATCAAATAGTAATAACTGGAGTCGGTAGACCAGACATTTTGTTCAGCCCACGGCTACTTTCTTTATTATTGTTTCCCCCTTCGGTCAGAGGCGGGAGTTGCCCCTTCGCTATGGCAACCCTCAAGGGACATATCGTCTTCAACACCAGAACGAAAAACATGTGACAGTCTGTTACAATGACATTCCAGTTGTTTGGTTTGAATTCACATTGACTGGTTTTATATTCAGAGAGCTGCAGTAACGCAATGAGCTTCTGTTTCATGGAGGATCAGTGATTTGCTAAAATGTGCTGTTCAGGCTATTTTTGTCCACTAGGGGACACCAGAGACCGGCTGTACTTATATGGAAAACAAGATGAGAAGATGCATTTCTTCCCTTATAAAGTAATATTTTTCACTTGTCTGAAGTTCACCGGCTCTCCTCTCTAATATATCAGAATATCAAACAGCTGCATTACCAGACTGAACGTTCTGCAGCATGACTCTGATGTGGTTGTCCCTGTCGGAGCGGGTCTGTTCGTGGTTGAAGCCCAGAGCGTGGAGCAGCTCGTGCTGGATGGTGCCGTGGTAGAGGCATCCGCTACGGGCCAAATACACGACCTGCTTCCCTCCACGACGGCCGATGAAGGAGTAGCAGCTGGACGGGATCAGAGATGAGTTGAACAACACAAAAGTCTGAGGAAATGTTCTCGAGTGTAAACGGCTCCACGACGTCTCTTTCTTACCCGTTCTGGGACTCGATGCTCAGCCAGTCACGGTCGCTGCTTGTGGAGGGCCTGAAGCGGATGCAGGAGAAGGAAGAGAAGGACTCCAGTCCACGGGTGATGATGGCCTTCTCACGGGAGGCTGGCAGGACCACAGCACACAACATTCAGCTGTTTACTGTGTAAAACAGAGGACCATACTGGCCCCAAATATCTGACAGATTTTCAAAAACCTTTCTGTCAAAGTTGCTGCATTAGAAGAGACAGCCTACTGTAAATAGACAAAGTGTATGTGCGCAGGCCTCCCAGGCCTCTGTGTGACACTTACAGAAGTGGTTGGTGAGGTAATAAGGAATGTAGACCTTCCCGTCAGTGAATTTGCCCCACTTGCAGCCTCGGCTGGTGCAGGGGTCGGCGTTTTTCTCGGCCTCGCTGTCGATGGCGATGTCTCCTCCGGTCAGGATGGGGTCATCGGCTCTGATCATTAGAATAGATCACATACTGTACCTGCCTGCAGGTTCAGCGTGGGATGAGAGGAGGAAAGACAAACACATTAGAAACAAAACCACATGACTAGAAGTTACAGCTAAAAGTCAACGTTACACTGTTTGTTAAAGTGGCATGTTCATGTTAACACTGTCAGAAGTATAAAGAGATTATATGAGACGCACGTTCAGCATCATTGAAAATTAAGCTTTGTAGATAAAGTGCCCCGTTTGACCCAAACTGTGTCATCATCTGAGAAAAATGTACTAGATACTACTGGGAGTCGATCCCAGCTGAAATTGGGCGAGGCGGGGGTTGCCCTAAACAGGTCGCAAGAATCGAAGGGCTGACAGAGACGGACAACTATACACGCTCACACCTACGGGCTGTGATTTAGAGTAATCGATTAACCTAAGCTGCATGTCTTTGGACTGTGAGAAGAAGCCGGAGAACCCGGAGAAAACCCACGCTGACAGGGGTTGAACATGCAAACCCCACACAGAAGGCCTGTCTAACCCAGGAATTGAACCCGGACCCCTCTTGTTGAGAGGCGACAGTGCCAGCCAACACACCACCATGTAGCCCCTCGTTACATCTTTTCAGAATTAAAAAGCAACCTGTCCCCACAGGTGAGTGTGTGAGAGTGGACATACTGCACGTGGCGTTCGGAGCAAAGCCAGAAAGACGGCTTATCAACTACAGTACGCTGCTACGTTTGATCACCTGTGTGTGTTCATCAAGAGGGCTTCACAGTTCATGAAGGCCACCAACGTGAGAATGACAGGAAATGTGAACGCTGCTGATCACCTGTGAGCTCTGCTACATGCAGGGGGTCGGCAACATTTTTGATACAAAGAACCATTTTAATCATCAGTGGGACATTTCAACGTTAAGGTTAACTGTATGTTGAATTATGACAGAACACCTAAATTTAAATCTCCAACACATCTGTATTTTTATTCTAACCATAGAAGCAGCATACACAGCAACATATTTAAAACATATCTCATAATCAGGACACAGTAATGAGAGCACTTTACAAGAAGGCTGCCGTCCTTATGAAAACATCCACGTCTGAATTGAAATCCTTGACCCGACCAAACCTCCAACAATCTTGTTCTTTAGCAATAAACTTGATAAATTCTGAAAAGAAGGCGGCGACTTCACAGAATGCAGGGTGGGGAAGAAATAATTACCATAAATAACCGTCTATGCCAATGGCTGTGAACGAGGTTATGTGGGGTCACCTTGGGCTTCACTTGTATCGTTGCAGATTAAAATATGAGCAAACACACACAGGCTGATGTTAAGATATTGAATACATATTTTTTATTCATTATTGTTATAAGTATCAAGCTCACAAGCAGTTATATATTGAGGAGTACATTTGTGATGATGGACACATTTTTATTTCTCATTAGCACAGCACAAGCTAATTTCATAAAATTCTCAATTATAGCAAATTCATGAAGCACAAGACACATTTCTGGTTTTGTTTGAAGATGACAAAAAAAAAAGTTGCATCACTTTGCTTCATTTCCTCTTGATTTCCTGTTGGAAGAAAAAAGGGGGATTCGTTCAAACCCTTGAATGAATCTGCGTACATGTGCACGCACACACACAAATACTTGGGCATGCACAAACTGAAAGATGCTTAAAGTCCTTAAAGGGACAGTTCATCCCAAAATCCCAAAGGTGTGTTTTCCCTCTTAGCTGTAGTACTGTTTGATCAAACTAGATTGTTTAGTTGTGTGTTGCCTAGTTATAGAGATATCAGCTAAATACATTTGAAAACTCAATAGATAATTAACAGACCTTAAGGCATTTTTTTCTCTCTTCACCGTTTTCAAACTTGTTTTTTTGGATCGCCATATAGTCCCATTATATTGGAGAGAAGGCAGACATCTCTACGACTGATATCTCCAAAACTATCAACACGCAACTCACACCAAAACAATATAGATAGATAAATAGTGCTACAGGTAACAGGAAAATATGTATATTTTTTATTTTATATTTTATCTTTAAGTTACAGGTCTGTTGTGATAATGAGAATCCCTGGTTCCATGTCGGGCCCCTGTCCTATGTGGTTTCCTGTCATTTTTTTAAATGTATTTGTATGCCTTCCACCATAGGGCTTTGGTTACAACCTCTCACTAACCGAAGGAAGCAATTTCATAATGCCCTCATTTTACAAATTAACATACACTATAAATCACAGGTTGATAGCTGACAGAAAAACTGTCTGTATCAGTCACTATCTTAGAATGGCACAATGCTACATTTACAACAAAAAAATTAATATGCGATTAATAAAAGCTACTACAAACATAAAAAGAGGGAAACTTCCATCTGAAGACAGAATGTACAGTCAGGCTCAATATCATACTTACGTTACACCGCGTTGACGATACCAGACTCTCACCTCTAGAGGAAATGGTTTCTTTGCACGGGTTTCAGGTCAGGCCTGGAAGCAGTCGAATCTGACATGAATTCAAAGAGACAGCAAACTCTGTAAAAGCTGATTGGTTTCTTTATGCTACTGCTACAATGCATATAAACATATACAGATTTTGATCTGTGTTCAATCCGACTTATGTCCGTCAAGTTTGTCAGAAGGAAGATGGAGTGAGAGAGTGCTGGTGGTAGCAGGTAGTAAGACAGAAGTTTAGTTGGAGAGGTCGTAGGCTACTTCTTTAAAAAGACACGTACTGCAGCGGTAAAGAAGGTTCACCCGAAGGATGTCATTGGCACTCATCTGGGTGGCCCTGCCGATGGCTACATTGCCGTTGGGGATGGGAACGATGGTCGGCCTCCTGTTCCTAGAGAAGGCGAACCTGCGGTGCAAAATACACAGAGGCGATGAGAGGTTTAAACTGTACATCGGGACTATTTTAATGACCACTGAGAGCTGATGTATGGAAAAGGCTGCAAGCTTAAAGCTGCATTAAGAATCTGAAAAACATGTAGTCTGACACAATACCACCTTATGAAGTCATTACGGCTGACATGTTGCAAGGCTCTGACTGTGGTTTGTGCTTATGCACCAAACAGTTCAGAGTATCCGGCCTTCTTGGAGTCGGTGGGAGGGGTCCTGGAAAGGGCGCCGCCTAGCGACTTCATAGTTCTCCTGGGGACTTCAACGCTCACGTGGGCAATGACAGAGAAACCTGGCGGTGGGTGATTGGGAGGAACGGCTTGCCCGATCAGAACCCGAATGGCGTCTCGTTATTGGACTTCTGTGCTTGCCACGGTTTGGCCATAACAAACACCATGTTCGAACATAAGGTGGCTCATAAGTGTACCTGGTACCAGAACACCTTAGGCCGGAGATCAATGATCGACTTTGTAATCGTATCATTTGATCTGCGGCCGTATGTCTTGGACACTCGGGTGAAGAGAGGAGCAGAGCTGTCAACTGATCACCACCTGGTGGTGAGTTGGATCAGATGGCAGGGGAACCGGTTGGAAAGACCCGGCAAGCCCAAAGTTGTTGTGAGGGTGAACTGGGAACGTCTGGGCGGAGAACCCTGTCCGGGAGGTCTTTAACTCCCACCTCCGGAAGAACTTCTCACACATCCCGAGGGAGGTTGGGGACATGGAATCCGAATGGACCATGTTCAAAGCCTCTATTGTGGACGCGGCCGCTAGGAGCTGTGGACGGAAGGTCATTGGTGCCTGTCGTGGCGGCAACCCGAGAACCCGGTGGTGGACACCGGAGGTAAGGGAAGCCGTCAAGCTGAAGAAGGAGACCTTCAAGGCCTGGTTGGCCCAGGGGTCTCCCGAAGCAGCTGACAGGTACCGGCAGGCCAGAAGGGCTGCAGCTGCGGTGGTCGCGAATGCTAAAACTCGGGCATGGGAGGAGTTCGGGGAGGCCACGGAGGACTTTCGGTTGGCCTCAAGGAGGTTCTGGCAAACCATCCGATGGCTCAGGAAGGGAAAGCAGGGCTTACCCCAGGCTGTTCTCAGCAGGGGGGGGGGGGACTGCTGACCCGGACAGGGGACATCGTCGGGCGGTGGAAAGAGCACTTTGAGGAACTCCTAAACCCGACCAACATGTCCTCTGCAGAGGAGGCAGCGCCTGAAGTTCTAGGGGGATGCTCACCCATATCCCTGGCAGAGACCGCTGAGGTAGTCAAAAAGCTCCTTGGTGGCAAGGCGCCGGGGGTGGATGAGATCCGCCCTGAGATGCTGAAAGCGCTGGACATAGTTGGGCTGTCCAATGTCGCATGGGGGTCGGGATCAGTGCCCATGGACTGGCAGACCGGGGTGGTGGTTCCCATTTTCAAAAAGGGGGACCGGAGAGTGTGCTCGAATTACCGGGGTATCACACTACTCAGCCTCCCGGGGAAGGCTTATGCCAGGATGCTGGAAAGGAGGCTCCGACCGTTTGTCGAACCTCAGATTCAAGAGGAGCAATGCGGATTCCGTCCCGGCCGTGGAACAGTGGACCAGCTCTTTACCCTCACAAGACTACTGGAGGGGTTCTGGGAGTTTGCCCAACCAGTCTACATGTGCTTTGTGGACTTGGAGAAGGCTTTCGACCGGGTCCCTCGGGGGTTCTTGTGGGGGGTGCTGCGGGAGTATGGGGTGCCGGACCCATTACAACGGGCGATTCGGTCTCTGTACGACTGCAGTAGGAGCTGTGTCCGCATTCTCGGCAATAAGTCAGACACGTTCCCGGTGGGTGTTGGCCTCCGCCAGGGCTGCCCTTTGTCTCCGGTCCTGTTCGTGACTTTCATGGACAGGATATCTAGGCGCAGCCTGGGGGTGGAGAATGTCAGGTTCGGGGGTCTTGGGATCGCCTCTCTGCTGTTTGCAGATGATGTGGTCCTGTTAGCCTCCTTGTATCGTGACCTCCAGCATTCACTGGGGCGGTTTGCAGCAGAGTGTGAAGCGGCGGGGATGAGAGTTAGCACCTCCAAGTCTGAGGCCATGGTGCTCTGCCGGAAACCGGTGGATTGCTCCCTCCAGGTGGGGACGGAGTGCCTACCTCAAG